AATAATATCTATTCCCCCTCTTTGGACCAGGGTCTTGGATTACCAGACCACCCAGTGAACTCGGGACAGGTCAAAAAACCCAGTGGCAAAAACTCATATTTGAGGAAAAAAGCACAATCTGGGGAAACTCTGAGTGAGGGCCATGACTGTGTAGACATGTCATCCCCTCAAGTTGACAGTATTAATGACTTATAAAAACCCGCACTTGTAAGTAAATAGCTTGGGTATCGAGATTGTGAAACACTTCTTTATTAGTTTGAAAAGGCACATTTACATATTAAATCATGAGATAAATTATAATCAGTTTGCAATTCTAACAATTATCCCAATCATGACCTTGGATCCTATGTCTCCTAATCACATCCCTTTTTTGACGGTCCAGTCATATCCACACTTAATACATGGGAATCTATCCTTTGTACACTCAACATACATCAATGACACACATGGTACATCCATGCTTGAGTAAGCTAACACTTCCTCCCTCTCCGGCTAACTCTACAAAAATAAAAATAACAAAATAGTTCAATAGTCCTGTATAGTCCAGAAAAATAGAATAAGTCTTTCAAGTAGTATAAAGAATCTTAGACACCATAAACTTTGTTCCATAATCTTAGACACCATAACATAGCTAAGGGTAGCAATATGACTGACACCAAGACAATGTCAGCTTCCACATAGTTCTTAATTCTTCTGTTTGCTGGATGTTCACCACAATGCTCTGTGCAACACCCCAATTGTTGAAAGGGTTAATACAGAAATAGTGGCATTAGACAGCACTGCACCTTTAGGACTTTCCAAGTTAGTTTATGTCCTCATAAGTAAGCATTTCAGTTTCTTCGGCCAGCATGGATTTTGACCAAACAGATTTAATTGCAAATAGGTAGGTCAGCCAGAGAGATTGGTGTGTAGTCCCAAATATCAGGCGGCACAAATACTCCAGAACGGTCTCTATAATCATACAAACACAAGGATCAGTACGACATCAAGAAATTAATTATCTAGGCTAAACTCAAATTAGAGACTAAAGTTAAATCCTTAACTTGCGTAACATGTACTTCTCTCAATGTTGCTTATATTTCATTGAATTTGTCCTTTATAACATTTTAATACATAATTTCCCTTTAGAATACCTTTGTATGGATGAGAGAAGCACTTACACTATATAAATGCTTGTTGGACAGGATGCGTACTAAAACACTTATATATACATATTGAAATAATTCCCAATAAAATGCTGTTCTTAAACTTAAACCTTGATTTCATAATCTCAATTAATTACTTTAATAAAATTGGAATGCTGAAGTCTGTCAAAACTTTTGTGGACCCTGATAACATCTTTGGAAACCGAAACCTTTTATAGATCCCGATGTCCAAAAAGCCACCAGTTCTGTATGTGTGTGATCATGTTTTAACTGTACAGTTATCCCACTTAAACAACCTTTTTGTCCAGAACAACTAGGAATGAAATAGGAGAAACAAAATTAATTACTATTGTTCTAAAGTTGTCTTGCTGTGTTAAGGTTGCAAGTGGCCTCTGATAAGGAAGGGACAGCAAACTGTAGACATATATATTAAATAGCCCTCACTTGTCAGGTCTTGGAACCCACTTATTTTATTGCATATGCCTCTATGATACCACGTTACAAACTGACTAAGCATACTTATTATTATCCTATTTTATTTTAGTTATTTCACATTGCGCAGCCTAACAATGTCTAGGTCCCAACTTCAGCTTGTACATCCTCTAAAGGCCAGCATTAATACTGTTTTATCACTCAAAACTATATGTAAAGTATTAAAAACATGAACCATCTGTGTATTGGGCTGGGGTTGTTGGGTGTGGGTATAGGTTGGAAGCTGTGGTTGGTATTGAAGAACCTGCCAGGGTGGGTCCTTGAATGTCAGCTGGGTCAGGTTCTCCCTTACCACCGAGTTCTCCTTTGTTTCCTTGAGCACCAGGTTCACCATTGTTACCCTTAGGTCCAGTGGAATCTCCAGGGCCTTGAGGTCCAGGAGCACCACAGGCACCAGGGAAGCCAGGGGCACCAGCAATACCAGGAGTACCAGTTGATCCAGTTTGACCAGGAGAACCGGGTTCACCACGAGCACCTTGGGGTGAATCCCTGCTATCCACAATTAAAACAGTGCTGAAGTTGCCACCTCTACAAAAGTTAGACTCTTTGAGCAAATCCTCTACCTCTGCCTCTAAAACTTTTCTGATTCAATCTCCTATATCCTCCCAAATTTCTTTGTCTCTCCTGCTTAGGGTCCCAATGCTGTAAACCCTGTGATTGATACAAGATACTCGTTTCCTTCTTTCTTTATAGCAAAACAACTTGCTGCATCTTTCTCATGAATCTTCCCAAGAAATTCAGTTGGGGTCAAAGAGGGCCAGTCACAGACCAACAGTTTGACCAAAACTGAACAAGGAGGAAGCATATTCCATATGCAGGTCCAGATGACCTAACTCACACCCCCCTCTTTTTGTTCCCCTCTTTGTGTACCACACAGATATATTAATAAGCTTTTGAAGATGTATTGTGTATGTATAGAACGGTTGTCTAGGGGTGTATACATAACCAGTGAAAGCAGAGTCTTCATATAGGGTTTGCAATACTGACAGTTTGGGTCATAGGTGTAATGCAGACATGCGGTTAGGTACTTTTCCATTGTCAGAATACACTAATATATTGCAAATATTACAATAATATTGCAGCTGTTTTCTGCACTTGCAAGGATATGGTTGTAATACTTCAATTGAGTTTAAATTGAGTATCAAAAGTCCAACCACAAAAACTAAATTTTATATGCTTATCAAAAATGAGTTTAACCCCTTAGCGATTTAATTGGTTGACCTCTTCCCACAATATGATTCTTTTTATAATTATTATATTATTTATTCTCTTCTGGGTCTGCAAAATGCTTTCAATATACCAATACAAATATAATACAGTAGTTTAGAATTGCCTCAAAAGAAATTGTCTGATCTCTATTAAAAATACCATTTCATCATTTTGCTATAATCAATGAGGCATACTCGATGAATCTTAATCTTGGAAAAAACCTATCCTATACATCCATTAATTTTTCTTGTTATATAACCATATAACATAACAATTGTTTATGTTAAAGATAACAAATGTTTCTTTTTCTTTGACTTAAATAATGCAATGCACTTTAAAAGTAAAGTTAACTCTAAATACTCCCCTATTAATACGGAGAGAGAGACATTTAAAATTGGAAACATGGATCCACGATTTTGAAAAGCAGATAATTATTTTTTTCTTTCTCAGGAGCCCCTTTCTTGTCGGCTGATCAGCGTTTTTTAATCTGTTGTAAAAAGACACTAAAAGCTTGCGTTAACGACATGCAAATATTCTTTAAATATTCTTCATACTCATTGTAATATCACACGTCATCTTATAACACAGAACACAGTGAATGTAGCAGATATCTAGCAGGCATGCCAATACAAAAAACGTATTAATGGACAGGCAATTAACTCAATCCAAAATAAATTAATAAATGTCACACTCGGTGTCCCTCAAAAGAAACACAGACATAATGTAGGTTCCCATGTTGGTGCATTATGCATGTCTGTAAACTATGCAAGCAGTACTCCTTTAAGATTAGATCAGAAAACCTGGCAACTGGACAGGAAAGTCGAATTTTGGCAAAAAGTTCATTATTGCAACAGAATTTTGGAAATCAGCCAAAACTTACAAAGTTTTTTTTTGTTTTTTTTAAGGATTACAACTGATATTGCTCTTGGACTAGTATTCAATAATAAATCAGTCATTAAATAGATTATTACGCTGCCATTTCCATCTGTATCAGTACTGAGACAAACTTATTCAAATATAATTTAAAATAACACAGCAAAATACCCATTAACATACATGACAATTAAACTTCATACTTCAAAATGAGTACCCAACACACACATTTATCACAATCACCATATACACAGAATAAACTTTTAACTGCTGTATTCAGAACATATTATTGTAAGGTATACCAATTTTAGTTTGTATCAAATTTATTTAAGAGTTTCTTTTTAAAGAAGGGATCCCGTACAGCCATATAACGCGTTTGACTTAAACATTTGTATAACACTTGCATTAACCAGTTGCAACATATGTACCCTGTCAATAGAATTTCTCTCTTATATGCTTATAGAACATTTGGACCAGATTACACAGACATGGTATCACTTGCATTTGTCAGAACTCTCAAAGACTCAAAATATTTATACTACTTCATGTTAAAGGCATGGCAAAATTTTGACCTGCCAATTTGAGTTCCCAAAAGTCATAACAACACAGGTAAAAACATTTGCCCATGGTTTTCTGATCCTACATTCCATGACCAAAATTTCAAACCCACTTCTGCACAGTTTGGGTCACAATCAATAAAATCTCAGCATCCCCATACAACAATTTACAGATTTCCACAATGCTACAGAATACATACAATTTAAAGCACATACAACATGTTAAGTACCTGTAGCAAGCACAAGTTAGCTTACAGCACAAAATGAAGCATGTGTTGGACTGCTAAAATATAAATTTTGCTCTCTAAATTTATAAACATCTACATTTACAACATTAATTATCTACAACAAACACACAGGGCAGAATGTGGTGTTTGATGTTTTGAATGAAGTGACTTTTTGTCCCAATATGAAAATAAAGGGCTCATCATATAAACAATCATACATCCCACTCTCATGAAAAAGTGTAGTGGGCTTATAGTACTTATGTCCAAGAATAAAAATAAAGGGCTCATTATGCAAACAAACATACATGCAGAGAAATCATGTTAGTTTTAGAATTTGTAGCTCCCTTAACCGATTAAGGACACATGACATGTGTGACATGTCATGATTCCCTTTTAATCCAGAAGTTTGGTCCTTAAGGGGTTAAATAACCTCTATTTGTATCTCTTCTTCCTCTTTATCATCATCGCCTTCACTTGTACTTTTGACATTCCCTTAATCATTTTATTCCCTTAATTCTTATACCTGGTTTGGACACCCTCAGGGCTTCAGAGGAGCTGCCCAATCCTTTCTTCCTGGTGAAGGGGTAAAAGAGAGCTTTATGGAGCAGTGGGTAGTCCTTGATATTGATATTTTATTAGACTGGGAAGTACCCATTTCAAAATCACAGGCAGTTAGGACTTTATGCTGAAAATCAGAGTTGCACAGTCACATAAAATAGCACATAAAGTAGCAAGCTGGAGTAATGCCAAACATCCATCATACAGGGTTTAAACAATATTCCCTTTTAACCCTCTTTTTTTTATTTATTTTTTATTTTAAACCAATGTAATCTGCAAAACCCACATGTACATGTACACTACATTACATGACAGCCTGCCAATGGCTTGAAAATCTTTTTACCACCTGCCAAAGGTGAACCTCTATCAAAGAGGAATTGTCTACCATAGACAATTATGCACAATACTGCCTGCCGAAGGCTTTCCTCCTACCCAAAGAGTCATAAAAGTCTACCTTAGACTTAAAAAAATATCATGTCTTTCAAAGACATTATGCAGTGAAAATGCCCTTTAAAATTTTTGTATTTGTTTTTTTAAATATGCAAAGTGTGGAGGATGAGAAAAAGAAAAGAATAGGTGTCTGAAAGACATCATCCCTTACCTTCCATCTCCAATTGCACCCAAACTTCTGACACCAATTTGTTGGGGATAAAATAAGCCCGGGCCCTTTGGATGATGGATATTTGCCAACTCATTCAGAGCTCTGGAAATTGGAAATGAATAGCAGAGACGTGTTCAATAACCAATTCAAATTTTATTCATACGTCATTTATATTTATACCCCATTTTCATGGCAGGATGGGAGGGGGAAAAATTAGCATATGAGCGTGACAATGATGACAATGACATAGATTGTTTTTCACAAGTTATAAGCAACAGTTTCTTGTTATATTTGATTAAAAAACCCAGATATTTACAAATACCAAAATCTTGGACAACTAACAAGAACATTTCGAAATCAGTACTTTTGCCATAACTAGGATTTTAGAAAAATGTATTTCTGAGAATCGGAGATACAATTCCAAATGCATTCTTGGTTCAAATTAACCCTTATATGAACAGCTAGGATAGATAGTGAAATGGATATTCGTATCTACAGAGTCAGGAGGCAGGTTGATAGGTAGGGAATAGTCTGGAAGGAGGGACATGATACTATAGTCATTGTGTAGTTGCGTTGTGGATGTTTGACAGATGGTTTTTGAAGTTTGTTGGGGACAACAGCGATGTAGCAGCACAAGTAAAACAGTAAAACTGCACATTTTAGAGAGGCCTTTTATTGTGGCTAGCCTAAGGCACACCTGTGCAATAATCATACTGTCTAATCAGCATCTTGATATGCCACACCTGTGAGGTGGATAGATTATCTCGGCAAAGGAGAAGTGCTCACTGACACAGATTTAGGAACAATATTTGAGAGAAATAGGCCTTTTATGTACATAGAAAAGGTTTAGATCTTTGAGTTCAACTCATGAAAAATGGGGGCAAAAACAAAAATGTTTATCATTTTGTTCAGTATATATATATATATATATATATATATATATATATATATATATATATATATATATATATATATATATATATATATATATATATATATATATATGAAGATAATTCTTGGCACTCACCCTTAATGTTCCCCAAAAAATTAGTATACTGCTGCCTGGGTGCAATCCTCAGCGTTTAGACATATAACAAAAAAAACATATACAAGGAGCACTCACAGGTCTTCATCTGAATGCTGATTTATTCTAAAGTGCAAATTACATGTGCAATCGACGTTTCGACCCTCACAGAGTCTTCTTCAAGATCTTGAAGAAGACCCTGCGAGGGTCGAAACGTTGATTGCACATGTAATTTGCACTTTAGAATAAATCAGCATTCAGATGAAGACCTGTGAGTGCTCCTTGTATATGGTTTTTTGTTATATATATATATATATATATATATATATATATATATATATATATATATAATGAAATTTAAAATATTTTGAATAATGTTAAATAATTTTAAAAGTTTATAAAAACTATTAAATAATTTAAAAAGCTTATACAAAAATATTGCATTGAGGCCAATGTTGGAAATAATAATTACACAATATAAAGGGAAAATGGTCATCTTGCAAAATGTAAAGATATCTGTTCAGGATATCTGTTCAGTTATCCTCGTATCTATGGCTGCTTATTTCATCAATAAAGGATGCAAAAAAAGAAAAACTTTTTTTTAAAGCTTTATTGTAAATAAAAGTTGTACAATACCAAGGCAAATGTTTGAATAGTACAGATTAGTTTTCCTTGACACAGATCAACAATAAATGAAGAATTGATACACAGTAGGGTAGTACAAAACATTCATTCGCAGTTTATATATAGCCTCATATGTGAATCATGTGATATGTAACACCATGGAGGGCTTGGGGTTCGCACGTGTCTGGAATTGCAATAGGGGTATTGTTCAAGGTTGATTTCAGCTGGCGGCCCTAGCCGACAGCTGGATGGATTTCGCTGGATCATTGGTGGGGTATTGTCATAACACTATAAAATAGTGGGTGAACACTCTAAATATAAGACAGTGAACAGTAAACAAGAAGTATAGAGTATAAATCCTGGTGAAGAAGTCGGGTGTAAGTGTTGTACTAGTGTGGCTTATCATTAGAGTGGGTTGTAGTGGAGCCCCAACTCCAAACACAGATGAGACCAACCCAACTGCATCTGCTGACAGCAGTCTACTCTGCATCAGACCAGTAGAGTGGGACGTCTGCAAGGGAGAGCAGGAAGGAGAAGCAGGCTAGAGTAGTTGGAAGACGAAGGAGAGGGGGTGGCTGTATGGCTCAAGGCCTGTCAAAGGATGATATGGCATAGATGGGCATGCTGGCACGGGAGGTAAGTTATTATTCTGTCATAAATCTTGCCCACGCCTCCCACACCTCTTGGTAGAGTGGTTATATGTGGGAGATGGAGGCTTGAATCTCCTCCATAATTTTAATTGTGTCTTCTTTAGTGATCCGTTCCTGACGGGTGGAGCTTTGGGATTTTTCCATTTCACGAGAGTAAGTTGACGGATGTGAGAAGGTAAGCAAGGAGAATATGTTGTGGCTTGGGGAGGGTGCAGGGAAAAATTAGAAACACTAATGTATGTGGTATAAGAGGGAGTTAGAGTCCTGTCACTATTTTGGTCATTTTCACTATGTTGGTCCAGTACGTCTGGATCAGTGGGAAATGCCAACAGGTGTGTGCCAAGGATGCCCCAGGTTGGGATCACTTCCAACAAACATCTGGTGTGTTTGGGAATAGGCTGTGTATTTTGGATGGGGATTAGTGCCACCTGGAGATTCTCTACATTGTTGCAGATTGGGACCATGTGTATTTGCGTAAAAACTGTTTTCCATTGTGATGTTATGAGATAGATATTGATGTCTGTGATCCAAGACTCTGTGAAGGGGGGCAGGGGGTTGGTATTTCAATGTATCTTTCCTGGTAAAATATTTTATAAATAAATAATTTGAGGAGTTTGTAGAATATTGAGAGTTGTTTCAATTTAACATTGTGGGTCTGCAGTGTATTTCAAAGTCTGAGAGGGTGTGAGAACCCTTTATAAGGGTAGGATTGGAAGTCAGGAAGTGGGTAATTTGTGCAAAATGGAACGATTGCAATGGTCCAAGTAGACTAGGGAGGGACCTTATGGCATTGCCATCCAAAAGTGAACCTAGTGCTCTCTCTTGGATGACAATGCCATGTCAGAAGCTCATTGGAATTGTTGGTAGGATATGGCTTATAGTCCCAGTGGGAAGAGTGGGTTGTGGGTAATAGGGTACATGGGGGACGGGTGAGGAGAAATGTCCTTGGAATCTCTTGGAGAATAGTAGTGGGATGAGTGGCGTGGCAGATCAGCAGTGTCAAGAGATTTGTTTTTTGCCATGAGATTGAGTGGAGGGGGATTTGGAACATGGAGCTATCTAGTAGTGTCCATTGCCTGGCAGGTGGGGAGATAGACCATTTGTAAATTCTGGATAGAATGGTAGCTTTATAGTGTGAGGTACACCCAGTCCACCACTAAACTCGTGTCTAGTCAGGACCTAATAAAGAATTCTAGAATATTTATGTGCCCAGATGAAGTTTGTGAAGAGTCGAAGCATTTTTTTTTTTATGCATTACAGGGTCAATAAAAATCATTGTTTTAAAATCTATTCATTTTGAACTATGCATAAGACAGACGGGAAGAAAGGAGATTTGGTCTGAGGCAAAGAAAATGTTTTTTTTTTTACTGTAAGAACAGTAAGAATACAGAAATATTTGCCTGAAAATGTTGCTTTATCAGGGTCTATTTAAACAGCAACGGGATGCATACTTGCAACAACAAATATTCAAGAATATACTTTTAGTGCGTTAATAGCTTATTGATCCAAGGATAAATCTGGTTGCCATTCTGGGATCAAGAAGGATTTTTTCCTAGTTTGTTACAAAATTGGAAGATCTTCAGACTGGGTTTTTTTCTGCCTTTTATTGGAGTAACAGCAAAAACAGATGCGAGAAAGTCTGAACTTGATGGATGCATGTCTATTTTCAACCTAAGTAATTATGTAAGGGCCTGGTCAAAAAAAACAAGCAAAAAAAAACAAAACAGGTACTTCAAAAGAAATGATAGGCTTTGTCTGAACATGCTTTGTACCAAATCCCCATTAGTTTACTCTATGAACTAAAAGAAAAGAATAATGGAAAGAATAAGACAAACCTAGAGGAATAAATACATGAGGTGACTTGTAAAGGGTCACCAAATAATTTTGAAAATAGATCTGCCTTCAGATATTGAACATATTTTGATTCATGCAGTTACATGGTGTAGCGGAGAGGCAGTATAATCCACAATATCTCCGCTGGGTAACAGGAATAACATAGGATAATCCAGGGGAATAAGCACAGCATACAATAATCCCGGTAGAGTTGTAGTAATCCTTCCTTCCCAAGAACTAGACGACACATAAGCTGGGAGTCAACTGAGGTTTTATTCACAGGACACTGTATTTATGGGATTCCCCATGCAAGGGGTTTCCCTACTGACATTACAGGGGTTGTACAGTAGGGGACTACATGGAGAACTGCCCAACACATACATTTCTCCCATGCACTGCTGGATGAGAGGGATACTCCCACTGAAATATACAGTTAATGGGATTATCCCTCCGTGCAGCAGAACTTACATTTTACCTTAAAATCCATAACTTCAATAATATTCACTTGTTTTACATGAATGGACGTTCGGTAGATAGCTGGAGGCTGAGCGCATAGTTCGTGGAAATACCGCTCAGCTCCCAGTCTAACTAACCGAACGCCGTAAGAAATACACATTATTTCCAACATATGGTTAAAATAGCGATGATATTGATATTAGGGAAACAAACTACCGAATGGCCGGGGCTCCCGAATGGCCTGGAAGTCCAGCGGGGTTCGCGCTGTTGAGTAGCCGTTTTTAGTTCCAGACGCTCGACGGCAAAACCCCGCTGGCTAACAAAGGAATCAAGATGGCCGACCGCCGCGTAGTCAGTAGCCAAACGACGGCCACCTAGGGAAGTCGTTAACTACCGATTGCAACAATGTTGCAATCGGTTAATGAGCGCCACACGACCTCCTATGTGTGGTCGACTGTTCGGTAGGTTATTCGTTTCACGAACAGTGTTTAAACTCACTGTTCGTGAAACTGCATAGGCAATGCTGGGTTTCACGTATTACAAGCATATGAACGCTCTTGTTCACATGAACACCCCATACTACATTACACTTGGTTCTCACAGCCAGCAAACCTTATAATATCCACACATGCAATAGTCTTAAGTGGCTAGGTTTGCCACACATGGATGCTTGGAGAGGTTGTTTTTTCATTAGTAATGGGCTACATGCGAGAATTAGCAGAAGCAGAAAGGAAAACACAGAGAGCTGACTGGATAATGTTATGGGGATGAAGGAACAGAGAATCAATTCCATATTTCACATGTTTTTAAATACAGTATATAGAGAATACTTTACAAAAATATGCAATAACAGTACACTTAATATATTAAATATTCAACTTTCATTTTTTTGCAAATCCAAGCTAAACATGATTTCCAGTGAACTCTCACCATAGTGATTGCATTAGGACAGTTAGTGGGGGCTGTAATTAATACTCTATGAGAAACAATTTCCCCCCTCAGGCATCACCCATGGTCAGTAAGTGGAGGCTCGAATATTGATAACAGGTAGCAAACTTAGTGTCCCCCTAGCTGCACCCATAGGCAGTGCATGGGGGCTCAATATAAACATCAAATGGGGGGGTTAAAATAATTTTACTCAATCCTTCATGTGATCCATGTGATCCCCAAGACCTCTGCCATCCCTACCCCAATTAAAAAGAAAAGTATAGCTACCCACCTCGTTAAAATAATAGCAAGTACCAATAAAACTAATACTTTCAAACAATTTCTCAATGCAACAAACCTGTAGCAGACCCGGGGTAATCCAACTGGTTACCTTTGCTAATTCCTTCTCTCAGCCAGACTGGAACCATTAAATACTCAAGCATCCAATCCACCAGTAACTAGAGGATATATAGTTCTGGGAGTCAACTGGTTTTATTTTGGCCACACAGGACTTTTATGCACTGACCCTAGCATGTGTAGATAATTAGCTTTTCTTGAGATTTTTGTTTGTCAAACACCAGTGTTCTAATAATCGAATCAGCGTCTTGCAGCCAAAAATGTATATTTATTCAAACATACACACCATCCGAAAACAACATAATAGTAGTTGAACGTCTTGACCAATACAGAGCAGTGTGTAAGCACTTCAAGATAGAATCCATTTTTGATGTTAAAGGTATTTGTAAAAATCCTTAGCTACAATCTGTTTTATAGGTTTAAAATTCAGTTATATAGGGGCATATACAAAAGGTTTCCTTACTTTAAAATAATTGTCTATCATAGGAAAAGGGTAGTGGCTTAGTAACATTTGAAATCTATGATTAAAGTCATACATTATATTTAGGCAGCAAAATAAGTCATATATACATGGTTAAATTAATAAATGCCTTTAGAAATTTGAGCCTTGGTAATACACAGGGAGTCTGGCTTGCAAAGCTAGGTCAAAGGTTACTATCAACAGGCCTTCATCAATCTATCTTAACGTGAACCATATGTGGTGACCATCCATATGCAATGAAAGTCTGTAATACTAGTTACATCCTGTGTCTGAAGGCCCCAATATGGCATCAGACTCGCCTCCACTCTGCTCCGCACTGGCAAGCACATCAGGATCAGAGCACCCATCCCATCACCAGGATGCAGACATCAGGCGACTAGTTAGGGCCCTACCCTCGAAAAATGATCTTGCCATGATGCTAAACAAACTGGAAAAAGCATTCCAGACAAAACTAGATGCCATTGGGTCTGACTTCCAAGACACCAAAAACAGAGTCTCCTCCCTAGAAGAAGACAGAGATACGATGGGAGTGCTCCGGGACGACATGGATGCTCAAACTACTCAATATGCATTTCTACAGTGATCCCTGGACGATCTGGACAACAGGGGTCGACGCAAAAATCTGAGATTCAAAGAACTGCACGAGGTAGATCAAGAACACTTACCAGACATCCTAGGAGAACTACTCAATCTAATTCTAGACCAACCCACAGACACCCCTGTGATTCTAGATTGAGCACACAGGGCCCTTCGCCCTCGTAACGCAGCATCCGAGACACCTCGAGATGTGATCTGCAGACTCCATTACTTTGAAGATAAGAACAGGGTAATGAAGGTCCTGCGTCTATCTCAACAACCACTTCCATACCGGGACACTCCCGTGGCTATTTACCCGGACTTGTCCTGGATGACGCTACAGGTCTGCAGGGCCTTAAAGCCTATCACCGATCAGCTACGCACCAGGAACCTGTAATGATATTGATGTTACAAAGTTTTGGAGTCCAGTAGCCAGATCAGCAATGTTTTCTGCCAGAGGTAGCCTCTCGTTACCCAGGTGGTTGAGCCCCTGAGCCTTGAGTGGCCTTCTGGTCTTAAGCAGAGATGGGAGACTGGAACAGAAAGATGATAATCGTAGTCAGGCAAGCCGAGGTCAGTGGGAAGGAGAAGCAGCAAAGTCAAAACAGTCCAAATTCAGCAACAGGAAGGAGAAACAGGAACACGCTGGATTAGAGAGTACAGGAACCACAATAATCTGGCAAAGGTACAGAGACAGGAAGTGGCTTTTATAGGCCAAGAACCAGACACCTGACTAGACACAGCTGAAGTGAGTTGTCACTGATAACCTTGACTCTACAAGCAATGGTATCAGATCTCAGGTAAATTTGCAAAAGGCAGGCTGGTGTACTGGTAAGGAAGAGGTTTAGCACCATGTAAATGAGGGTTCGAAACCCAGCAGAGTCAGTTCCTCACATTACCTCCACCTCTACAGGCGCAGCCTCTGGATGCCCTATTTCCTGGTTTAGCAGGGTACTGTGCATGGAAAGACTGAAGAAGATCAGGAGCATGAATATTGTCCACTGGTTCCCATGATCTATCCTCCTCACCATAGCCTTTCCAATGAACCAAGTATTGAAGCTTGTTGCGGAAGATCCTGGAGTCAAGAATTTTTTCCACCTCGTATTCATCTTCACCATCCACGAGGACTGGTGGTGGGGCAGGCAAGGCTCGACCAGGGAAAGTATTTTCATGAAAAGGTTTAAGCAGTGCCACGTGAAACACCGGATGTATTTTCATGGAATCCGGAAGTTGCAGACGGAAGGTGACTGCATTGATCTGAGCGATTATCTTAAAAGGTCCCATGAACTTTTGACCCAATTTATGAGAAGGAATCCTAAGCTTAAGATTCTTTGTTGACAGCCAAACCTTGTCACCAACATGATAAACTGGGGCCTCCTTTCTGTGCCTATCAGCAGCTCTTTTGTAACATTCCTGAGCCTCCGAAAGAGTCTCCTTCAACAGTTCTTGGGAATCTCGTAAGGCGGTTAGCCGGTCAGTGACTGCAGGAATGGGAGTAGTAATTGGGAGACTCACTAGAAAGGTTGGATGGTAACCATAATTGGCAAAAAATGGGCTCAGAGAAGTGGAGCAGTGTTGGGCATTGTTATAGGCAAACTCCGCCGTGGGTAGAAAATCCAGCCAGTCATCCTGCAGGTAACTAATATAGCACCGCAAATATTGTTCTAAAGTCTGGTTGGTTCGCTCAGTCTGTCCATTACTTTGTGGATGAAAAGCTGAAGACAGATTTACATTAATACCTAGAATAGAACAAAAATATTTCCAAAAATGAGATGTAAACTGCACTCCCCTGTCAGAAATTACTTCATCAGGCACTCCATGCAAGCGAAATATTTCCCGAATAACAAGGTCAGCAGTCTGTTTAGCTGAAGGGAGACCACGAGCTGGTATGAAATGACTCATCTTGGTTAACCGGTCCACAACAACAAGAATAGTAGTGTGTTCCTTAGAGGGAGGTAGTTCCACAATAAAGTCCATGGATATAGATCCCCAGGGACGATGAGGAATCGGAAGAGGCTGAAGCAAGCCAACAGGGGATGAGCGAGGAGTCTTATGTCTGGCACATACATCACAAGAGGACACATACTTCTTAACATCCTCATAATATTTAGGCCACCAAAAGGATCGGGTAAGTAGTTCTTGTGTCTTTCGGATTCCTGGATGACCTGCTGGTTTAGAGTCATGGTAGAGGCGTAAAACGTCCAGTCGCACTGATTCTGGAACAAACAGACGTTGTTGAAAAATCCAAAACCCATTAAGCATGGTCATATGAAGATCACGAGGAGGATCACGAAAAACTGGATCTTTAGAGTAGCCCTTTTTAATGCGAGACATTAGATCAGAAGGAAAGGTAACTCCTAAAAATCTGCTCTCCGGCAAGATGGTGGCCTTGGTTACTGTAGTATGGAGGGGGTCAGCTATCCTAGACAAGGCATCCGCCTTGCCATTTCTGGAACCAGGGCGGTATGAAATAAAAAAATTAAACCTTGAGAAAAATAGGGACCAGCGTGCTTGTCTGGCTGACAGTCTCTTAGCGGATTGGATACATTCCAGATTTTTGTGATCTGTGAGGACAGTAATTGGATGGGTGGCTCCCTCCAAGAGATGTCTCCATTCGGTGAAGGCAGCTTTTATAGCCAAAAGTTCTTTATTCCCTATGTCATAATTTCTTTCTGCTGGTAACATCTGGCGGGAATAGAAGGCACATGGATGTAACAACATCTTAGGTCCAGTCCTTTGAGATAGTATAGCCCCAACAGCTGAATCAGAAGCATCTACCTCTACAGTAAATGGCAATTCTGGCTGAGGATGTACCAAGATAGGGGCAGATGTAAACAGAGTCTTTAATCTGGAAAATGCAGTGTCAGCCTTATTGGACCACTGAAAAGGAGTCCCTTTACGTGTAAGTTCAGTGATCGGTGTAATAACGGCAGAGAAATTCTTAATGAAACGCCTGTAAAAATTGGCAAACCCCACAAATCTCTGTATATCTTTTTCATTCTTGGGGATGGGCCAGTCCAGCACAGCTTTAATTTTACTTGCGTCCATACTTAAACCTTTAGGAGTTATTACATACCCCAGGAACTGAATTTCTGTTTGTTCAAACTCACATTTTTCCAGTTTAATGTATAGGTGGTGGGTACGAAGGCGCTCAAGAACAATGCAGACCTGTTTTCTGTGATTTTCAAGATTATCAGAAAATATCAGGATATCATCCAAATATGCCACAACAAACTGATCCAGGAGATCCCGTAGTACATCATTGATTAGATGCTGAAAAGTTGCAGGGGCATTACAAAGCCCAAATGGCATTACTAGATATTCGTAATGTCCGTACCTGGTTCTGAAAGCTGTTTTCCATTCATCATTTGGTCTTATGCGAACCAGATTATATGCCCCCCGTAGATCAAGCTTCGTAAATATTTTAGCTGAACGAAGTCTCTCCAGAAGTTCAGGAATGAGAGGCAAGGGATAACGGTTTTTAACAGTGATTTTATTAATGTCCCTGTAATCGACACATGGCCGTAGACTGCCATCTTTCTTTTCTACAAAGAATATAGGAGCTCCTGCTGGAGAAGTGGATGGTCGAATAAAGCCTTTGGCAAGATTTTCTTGTATGTATTCACGAAGTGCTTTCAATTCAGGCTCAGAAAGGGAGTATATACGGCCAAATGGGATAGCAGCTCCAGGTAGCAGCTCTATGGGGCAATCATAAGGCCTGTGAGGTGGAAGCTGATCAGCATTCTTCTTATCACAGACATCTGCAAAATCCCGATATTGTAGCGGAAGCTTAGTTAAGTTTGTAGCAACCATTTCATTAATTGTTGTGGTAACAGGTGTCGCCTTAGAGGGTTGACAATTCATTAAGCAGTGTTCTGAAGGAAAGGACAAAGTTCTAGTCTTCCAATCAATCTGTGGGTTATGCAGAGCAAGCCAGGGTATACCCAAAATCACTGGAAACTGTGTTGAGGAAATTAGGTGGAAAGATATAGACTCATGGTGATTCACTTCCAGAATCAATTTTAAGGGCACAGTCTCATGTGTAACCGGGCCTGACGTAAGTGGAGAACCGTCTACTGTTTCCATTAACACAGGTGAAGATTTAGGGATAGACTGAATTTTATTTCCTGCTGCAAATTTAATGTCCATAAAGTTTCCGCCTGCTCCGGAATCTATCATAGCTGTAGTTGAAATTTTATTATTACCATATTGCAAAGTGATAGGCACCACCAAATGAGGATGTTGAGTCATCATACCTTCTTCACCCTGAGCCAGAGAAAACAAGGGTTGTGTGACAGAATCCAGTTGGTCTGAAATCTGGGATTGGTGTTGAATCTGTGCACCCTCAGCAGTCATAGCTATTGTTCTTTTAGACTTGTTAGGGCACTTGATGGCATAATGCCCTGCACTACCACAATACAGGCATAAGTTGTGAGTGCGTCGCCACTGTTTTTCTTCATTGGATAATGGCCCTCTTATTAGATCTACCTGCATAGCCTCAGGTTCAGAGTCTGTAGGTGTTTGTGGGGTCGGAGTAGAAATTCTTGAATAGAAAGTAGGAGTAGCACTTGGTTTAAAAGAGCCCTGTCTTTCCAATCTTCTTTCTGAAAGTCTCCGATCAATACGGATAGCCAACCGCACAAATGCATCAAACTCAACAGGAAGATCAACACGAGCTAGCTCATCTTTTATAGCTTCTGAGAGACCCCTTCTGAAGTGGAACCTCTGGGCTGATTGGTTCCAAGTAGTATCAGTAACCCACTGTCTGAATTCAGCAGCATATTCAGCCACAGATCGCCTCCCTTGATGTAAATGAAGGAGAGTGGCTTCTGCTGTAGCACAGCGATTGGGATCATCAAAAACTAGGCACATGGCCTCAAGAAAGTCTTTTAAGTTTCCCAAGATTGGACTGTCCTGTTCCAGAAAAGGGGAGCCCCAGGCCAGGGCTTCATCTTTGAAGAGGGAAAAAATAAATCCCACTTTCTCTCTTTCAGATGGAAAACGGTTAGGTAACATCATGAAATGCAAACGGCATTGATTTAGGAAACCCCTGAATTTTTTGCGGTCTCCTCCAAATTTTTCTGGTAGAGGCAAGCGGGCATCTTGTGCAGGTGTAACAGTAGTAGTAGCAGCAGCCGCAACATCATGTGCCCTGTAGCTGGTAAGCTCACTATGCATTGATCGAACTTCATTTTGCAGTTCAGCTACCTGATCCTGCAGCACTTGAATGGTCTGTGCCTGGGTCTGCATAGTTCTTGCATTAAAAGCAACCTGCTGGGCCAATGCAGAATCTGATCCGACGGTCTCCATGAATGGGCCAGATTATTCTGTAATGATATTGATGTTACAAAGTTTTGGAGTCCAGTAGCCAGATCAGCAATGTTTTCTGCCAGAGGTAGCCACTCGTTACCCAGGTGGTTGAGCCCCTGAGCCTTGAGTGGCCTTCTGGTCTTAAGCAGAGATGGGAGACTGGAACAGAAAGATGATAATCGTAGTCAGGCAAGCCGAGGTCAGTGGGAAGGAGAAGCAGCAAAGTCAAAACAGTCCAAATTCAGCAACAGGAAGGAGAAACAGGAACACGCTGGATTAGAGAGTACAGGAACCACAATAATCTGGCAAAGGTACAGAGACAGGAAGTGGCTTTTATAGGCCAAGAACCAGACACCTGACTAGACACAGCTGAAGTGAGTTGTCACTGATAACCTTGACTCTACAAGCAATGGTATCAGATCTCAGGTAAATTTGCAAAAGGCAGGCTGGTGTACTGGTAAGGAAGAGGTTTAGCACCATGTAAATGAGGGTTCGTAAACCCAGCAGAGTCAGTTCCTCACAGAACCTCCGGTATCACTGAGGATTTCCCTTCGCACTTACTGACACCTATCAAGGAGCCTCTCACACGATCTCAAACTCGCTTGATGTACCGGTATTCCTGAGGGCACTAGATGTATCTGAGGTGCATATTACGTATTGGTATGCCTGTGTCCCTCATCCGAACACACTTTCGAGACTCCAGCAATGCAACCAATGGCAGCAAACTCCCAAAAAAAGAAGAACAGGACCTGTGGAAAGCGCATCTGGGGACACAGCCCAGTTCAACTAGCCTGCTACAAACAAGTCCAACTTTACACAGTAATCTCACACCTGTGGGCTGTCGCGAGCCACTTCACATTTCCCGACATAACGATGGATATCCTTCATATATATGGACACTGCAAGTACACCTCTGGCAGCCTGCAGCGCATAGGTGAAACAAGGCCGCAGACCTCAGTGACTCTTGCTACACTGATGGGATCTGTATCTTAACCATGGTCACGCAAGTAATTCACATCCGGGGGTCTAAGCCTGGGCTCTTATGCCCTTATGCCTCTTCCTTACCCCCCTTCCCCTACCAATCACTGCTTCCTACCCAAACCCGAATACCAACTCGGGGGTACCTTACCGGCAGGCCCCCTTTATTCCGCCAACAACGACCCGCACCACACTTAGCGGCTCTATACCCTACACCAGGGAAAAACTCTCTGAGAATGCTACCTCTGATAGACATAGCACATCTACCAGAGAACTCTATGAGGCCAGAATATACAAGAGGACTTGAACACTTGACCCCATACGGCACTGATTTTGGGCCCTCCCGCTCACTCACCAGCCTCCTCACCACCTCTCCATTTCCCTACCCCAAAAATAAATATATATAAATAATAATAAAAATAAATAATAATACAAAATAAATAAACAACGCAAAGACAAGGGCTAGAGAATAGAGCGGATGGGAACAGCACTGTGTAATGTATAAATGTGCTGCTTAATACTGTATAGATAACGCTGTTTGAGTTATGCTCCTCTCAAACTGTGAATACGTATCTTATTGGGTTTGTGGGGCTTGATGTTTAATTGGAACTGTTCTACACTTACAGGTCCCCCAGCTCCTGACACGTAGATGTTAAAATGCAGAAGCACCCTCACCTATGCCCCTCTGCTGCCTGACACCACGGTGCAAGCCACCTAAACAAGTGTACTAGGGACGCCTGCACTATAGTCAGATAAACCCAAGAACAGAGACAGTGTCGGCTTAAGCCGACACTCCTGTTGCATATGATGGCGCTAAGGCACTGAGGCAGCAACCCCCGCAGCCCACACTGCCATCCCTCCCCCATCCCAACCACCCCCCCCCCTTGACCCTAGGCTAGGTATCTTAGACCCATCAGGCAAGTAATTTGAACAAGAATGAGTAGAAAAATCCACAAGAGTAATGGGCCAGCAACCCCTGCCCCCCACCCTACCCTATACCGGAACTGCCCCTCTCCCTCCGATAGTGAAGGCAATAGAGGAAATTGGAGCCAGATGGGTGAATGGTCCCACTGTATACTCTTAAATATATCCTCCTCTGCTCCCCCCCTCTACCTAAGGAAGTGAGAAGGGAAGATGCTATAAATGCCCTCGGCTTAGAAATCCAGCTCTCCACCCCACAAAATCCAGACTCCCTGTACACCCAATCTATTGGTAAACTCCCTCCCAACAGCTGGTAACACAAAGGTAGCTAACAAGCTAAACTACTAATAGCTAAAGGTCTTACACTCAACAAGACACAGATACCTTGACATGCCCTTGCCTCCCTTGAATAGCTCTAGACACAAGTCAACAATATACTTACTCCTGTAAACACAGAGCACAGGTTGGACCGAATGATTTGCATCTCCTGAATGCCACAACCCCGAAGGGATCCCTCCTGGTACTACAGATACTTACCCATGAAAAAAAAAAAACACAGGCAACCTTGCAGAATGATATCACAATCAACCAGTATGGCAACTTTATATTATGGAGCCCACTTACTGTAGATTGGGAATAAGACATCACAACACTAGTGATGCACCGAACGGTTCGCCGGTGAACAGTTCCCGGCGAACATAGTGTGTTCGCGTCCGCCGCGGATGGCGAACACATGCGCGGTTCGATCCGCCCCCTATTCGTCATCATTGAGTAAACTTTGACCCTGTACCTCACAGTCAGCAGACACATTCCAGCCAATTAGCAGCACACCCTCCCTAGCAGACCCTCCCACCTACTGGACAGCATCCATTTTAGATTCATTCTCAAGCTGCATGCTTAGTGAGAGGAGGGAAAGTGTAGCTGCTGTTGATTAGATAGGGAAATGCATAGCTAGGTTAGGGTATACAGTGTCCACTACAGTCCTGAAGGACTCATCTGATCTCTGCTGTAAGGACAGCACCCCAAAAAGCCATTTTTAGGGCTAGAACATGAGTCTGCTTTTTTTTTTTTTTGACTGTGTAATGTAATTGCAGTTAGTTGTCTACCACTGCTGCCAGGTTCTGTGTCAGGCTCACAGTGGATACTGTGCCCATTTGCCCAGTCAGTGCCACCACTCATATCTGGTGTCACAATAGCTTGCATTTAAAAACAAAAAACTTTTTTCACTGTTATAGATTGAATAGCAGGCAGTGTCCTTAAAGCGGGTGTGTCAGGCTCACAGTGGATACGGTGCCCATTTGCCAGTCAGTGCCACCACTCATATCTGGTGTCACAATAGCTTGCATTTAAAAACAAAAAACTTTTTTCACTGTTATAGATTGAATAGCAGTCAGTGTCCTTAAAGCGGGTGTGTCAGGCTTACAGTGGATACTGTGCCCAGTGCCACCACTCACTCACTGGTGTCACAATAGCTTGCATTTAAAAACAAAAAACTTTTTTCACTGTTATAGATTGAATAGCAGTTAGTTGTCTGCAAGCTTCTGTGTCAGGCTCACAGTGGATACTGTGCCCAGTGCCACCCTTCACTCACTGGTGTCACAATAGCTTGCATTTAAAAACAAAAAACTTTTTCACTGTTATAGATTGAATAGCAGTCAGTGTCCTTAAGCGGGTGTGTCAGCCCTAGGCGTGTACTCTGCCAACCTCTGCCAGTTCACGGTGCACTCCTTATCTGGTGTCACAGTAAGCTTTGCGCATAGATGCCACTAATCGAAAAAATGACAGGAAAAGGCAGGCCACCCCGCAATTCCGTCGTGGTCGTGGTGCTGTGATTCCCTTTTGCCCTAGAATAATGCCCAGTTTTCAGAGGCCACGTACCCTGAACTTGAAAAGTTCTGAGGACATAGTTGACTGGCTAACACAGGACACCCAATCTTCTACAACTTACGCTCGGAACCTTGACGCAACATTCTCCTCCAGCTTAGCTTCGGGCACCTCTCAAGATATCACTCACCCGCCTGCCGCCACCACCAACACTAGCACCACAGCAGCGCTTCACTTGGTATGTCAGAGGAGTTATTTACACATCCGTTTGAAGAAATGAGTGATGCGCAACCATTATTGACAGAGGATGTAGATAACAGGGATATGTCTCAATCAGGCAGCATTACACATGTACGGTGTGATGATGATGATGTTGTACCCGCTGCTGCTTCCTTTGCTGAGTTGTCAGATACAAGTGAAGCGGTTGATGATGACGATGCGTCCATGGATGTCACGTGGGTGCCCGCTCTGCAAGACGAAGAACAGGGTGAAAGTTCAGATGGGGAGACAGAGAGGAGGAGGAGACGAGTTGGAAGCAGGGGGAGGTCGTCGCAAGGAGCTAGTGGCACAGTCAGACAGCACGCATTGGCACCCGGGGTCAGCGCAACAGCACGCCAATCAACGCATGCTGTGTCCACCACCAGAGCTCAGCAGTGTGGCATTTTTTTTGTGTGTCTGCCTCTGACAACAGCGATGCCATTTGCAATCTGTGCCAAAAGAAACTGAGTCGTGGGAAGTCCAACACCCACCTAGGTACAACTGCTTTGCGTAGGCACATGATCGCACATCACAAACGCCTATGGGATCAACACATGAGTACAAGCAGCACACAAACTCAAAGCCGCCATCCTCCTCCTGGTCCAGCATCTTCAGCCACATCAACCTATGCTGTCCTCCTTGCCCCCTCTCAACCATCCGCCACTCCGTCTATCGCCTTGAGCACTTCCTGCTCATCTGCCCACAGTCAGGTGTCTGTCAAGGACATGTTTGAGAGTAAAAAGCCAATGTCAGAAAGTCACCCCCTTGCCCGGCGTCTGACAGCTGGCTTGTCTGTACTATTAGCTCGCCAGCTTTTACCATACAAGCTGGTGGAGTCTGAGGCGTTCAAAACATTTGTAGCTATTGGAACACCGCAGTGGAAGGTACCCGGACGAAATTTCTTTTCACAAAAGGCAATCCCCAACCTGTACTCGATTGTGTAAAAGGAAGTAATAGCATGTCTGGCACACAGTGTTGGGGCAAGGGTCCATCTGACCACTGATACCTGGTCTGCAAAGCATGGTCAGGGCAGGTATATCACCTCACCTACACTGCGCATTGGGCAAACCTGCTGATGGCTGCCAAGCATGGAATGCGTGGCTCTGCAGAGGAGTTGGTGACACTGCCACGACTTGCAGGCAGGCCTGCTGCCACCTCCTCTACTCCTCCTACTCCATCCTCTTCCATAACCTCCTCGGCTGAGTCTTCTTCTGCTGCTGCGTCTTGCTCCACATCAACGGCACCCCCCAGCTCCCCAGGTACTATTCCACATCCCGGATACGGCAGTGTCACGCCGTCTTTGGTTTGACTTGCTTGAAAGCAGAGAGTCACACCGCACAAGCACTCCTGTCCGCCCTGAACGCACAGGTGGAAAAGTGGCTGACTGCGCAGCAACTGGAGATCGGCAAAGTGGTTTGTGACAACGGAACAAATTTGTTGGCGGCATTGAAGTTGGGCAAGTTGACACATGTGCCGTGCATGGCACATGTGTGTAATCTGATCGTACAACGCTTTGTGCATAAGTACACAGGCTTACAGGACGTCCTGAAGCAGGCCAGGAAGGTGTGTGGCCATTTCAGGCGTTCCTATACGGCCATGGCGCACTTTTCCGATATCCATCGGCGAAACAACATGCCAGTGAGGCGCTTGATTTGCGACAGCCCGACACGTTGGAATTCAACACTCCTAATGTTCGACCGCCTGCTCCAACAAGAAAAAGCCATTAATGAATATTTGTATGACCGGGGTGCTAGGACAGCCTCTTGGGAAGCTGGGAATTTTTTTGCCACGTTACTGGACGCTCATGCGCAATGCCTGTAGGCTCATGCGTCCTTTTGAGGAGGTGACAAACCTAGTCAGTTGCACCGAAGGCACCATCAGCGACATCATACCATTTGTTTTCTTCCTGGAGCGTGCCCTGTGAAGAGTGCTGGATCAGGCCATAGATGAGCATGAAGAGGAAGAGGAAGAGTTGTGGTCACCATCACCACCAGAACCAGCCTTATCAGTATCGCTTGCTGGACCTGCGGCAATGCTGGAAGAGGATTGTGAGGAAGAGGAGTCAGAGGAGGAATGTGGCTTTGAGGAGGAGGAGGAACCACAACAGGCATCCCAGGGTGCTCGTTGTCACCTATCTGGTACCCGTGGTGTTGTACTTGGCTGGGGGAAGAACATACCTTCATTGAGATCACTGAGGAGGAGGAACGGGAAATGAGTAGCTCGGCATCCAACCTTGTGCAAATGGGGTCTTTCATGCTGTCGTGCCTGTTTAGGGACCCTCGTATAAAAAGGCTGAAGGAGAACGACCTGTACTGGGTGTCCACGCTACTAGACCCCCGGTATAAGCAGAAAGTGGCTGAAATGTTACCAAATTACAACAAGTCGGAAAGGATGCAGCATTTTCAAAATAAATTAAAAAGTATGCTTTACACAGCGTATAAGGGTGATGTCACAGCACAACGGGAATCTAACAGGGGAAGAGGTGAAAGTAATCCTCCTCCTCCCACGACCACGCCGGCAAGGACAGGACGCTTTACAGACGTGTTGTTGATGGAGGACATGCGAGCTTTTTAAGTCCTACGTATCGCCACAGCCCTTCGGGATCCACCCTCAGAGAACGACTCGACCGATAGGTAGCAGACTACCTCGCCTTAACTGCAGATATCGACACTCTGAGGAGCGATGAACCCCTTCACTACTGGGTGTGCAGGCTTGACCTGTGGCCTGAGCTATCCCAATTTGCAATAGAACTTCTGGCCTGCCCCGCTTCAAGTGTCCTGTCAGAAAGGACCTTCAGTGCAGCAGGAGGTATTGTCACTGAGAAGAGAAGTCGCCTAGGTCAAAAAAGTCTAGATTACCTCACCTTTATTAAGATGAATGAGGGATGGATCCCGACGGGACTGATAGTGGGCGATACATCCGACTAAAAAAGGCCTGATGAGATGAGCTGCCTTGGGCTAAAAATGGTCCACACGCTGCTGTATTTTAGCTCTGAATGCCGGTTGACTTGCGTGACTCATCCGCCACCAACTAGGGTTCAAGCCGCAATGTTTTAGGGCAGTGCTCCCCAACCTTTTTATCGCTGCGGACCGGTAAACGTTTGATCCACGTACCGGTCCACGGCCCGGGGGTTGGGGAACACTGTTTTAGGGCACTTTCTGCCTGGGAAACAAACATCAATTCTTCTGGCCGCTGCTACAGCAGCGGCTGCAACAATACCTAATTTTTCAGGCATGTGTACATGCCTAATTTTTCGGGCCTCTGGTGCTGCACTGTGGTTTCAAAAACCAAACCAAAAAAAGGCACATAACAGGGATTAAACTGATAAGAATAATACTACTTAACACACCTTATAATAACGCAGAGAGAGGCAACGCAGAGAGAGGAGTCTGAAGAAGAGGAGTCAGAGGAGGAAGGTGGCTTTGAGGAGGTGGAAGACCAAACACAGCAGGCGTCCCAGGGGGCTTGTTGTCACCTTTTGGGGACCCTTGGTGTTGTACGTGGCTGGGTGGAGGAAGAGACCTTCAATGACATCAGTGAGGACAAGGAACGGGACATGGCTAGCTTGGTATCCAACCTTGTGCAAATGGGGAGTTTGCGGTTGTGCAAATGGACTGTTTGTGGTTGTTTGCGGTGCGTTAAACGGGGAGTTTGGTCTGTCACTGTGAAGCGGGCGTAACCCTTACACTACCTGATCGATACAACATCATACAGTAGGTCCCCCCCTCATTATTTTATGGCCCCCACCCACCGCTCACGGGTGGGGGCAGGGGGGAGGACAGTAGGTCCCCCCTTATCCTTATTTACTGAATATTCCCCTGTATAACAATGTTTGGCATTTAGTGAATATTCCCTATTCTACTCTGTGTCAATGGGTATCAGGGATCCTTAGGACAGGTGTCAATCCATATCTGCCAAGTGACCCTATGTAGGAGGAACAGTCTCAATTCTGCTCTGTGTCAGTGTGTATCATGGTCTCTGAGGACAGGTGTCAATCCATATCTGCCAAGTGACCCTATGTAGGGGGAACAGTCTCCATTCTGCTCTGTGTCAGTGTGTATCATGGTCTCTGAGGACAGGTGTCAATCCATATCTGCCAAGTGACCCTATGTAGGGGGAACAGTCTCTATTCTGCTCTGTGTCAGTGTGTATCATGGTCTCTGAGGACAGGTGTCAATCCATATCTGCCAAGTGACCCTATGTAGGGGGACAGTCTCTATTCTGCTCTGTGTCAGTGTGTATCATGGTCTCTGAGGACAGGTGTCAATCCATATCTGCCAAGTGACCCTATGTAGGAGGAACAGTCTCTATTCTGCTCTGTGTCAGTGTGTATCAGGGGCTCTGAGGACAGGTGTCAATCCATATCTGCCAAGTGACCCTATGTAGGGGGAACAGTCTCTATTCTGCTCTGTGTCAGTGTGTATCATGGTCTCTGAGGACAGGTGTCAATCCATATCTGCCAAGTGACCCTATGTAGGGGGAACAGTCTCTATTCTGCTCTTTGTCAGTGTGTATCAGGGATCCTTAGGATAGGTGTCAATCCATATCTGCCAAGTGACCCTATGTAGGGGGACCAGTCTCTATTCTGCTCTGTGTCCGTGTGCATCAGGGGCTCTGAGGACAGGTGTCAATCCATATGTCAAGGTGTCAATATGTCATATGTCAGGTGTCAATCCATATTGATTGTGATTTAGGAATGTTAGGTGATTTCTGCCCTTTATGGATTAAAACCAGACTCTGTATCAACTGTGTAATTTTCCATGGGAGTTTTGCCATGGATCCCCCTCCGGCATGCCACAGTCCAGGTGTTCGTCCCCTTGAAACAACTTTTCCATCCCTATTGTGGCCAGAAAGAGTCCCTGTGTGTTTTTTAAAATTTGCCTGCCCGTTGAAGTCTATGGCAGTTCGCCTGGTTCGCCGGTTCGCGAAAATTTGCGGAAGTTTGCGTTCGCCGTTCGCGAACCGAAAATTTTGTGTTCGCAACATCACTACACAAAACCGACATAACTATAGACGCTCGCGGCAGACCACAGTCCACACTGTGTCCATCAACCACTCACCACCTACAGAACGGATTGTTCTCTAGAACCCAAACACCAATCTAGCCTACAAATACTCCTCCCTGAGAGGAACCGCAAAACTACCCGACAACACCTACTATGCCATGTCACTTAGATGACTCTTTTAACTCCTATTCTAGGTCCAAAGGACCTCTCCCAAGAGCTGAAACACTAACCAAGTGGACCACGCACCCCACTCAGGGTAAACCACCAAAGGGAACCCCCTACATAGCCTACATCCCTTTCTGATATTGACAATACCGGTAGGCTACTCACACCCTTGTACATAGTTTAACTGTTACACTCCTCTCTCAATCTCTTACACTTCCCTCCCCTACCACTCCTCTACTCCCACCCCTTAAATCCCCCTGGCAGGGAGGATCGAGGCGGGACCCTCCCCTACCCCAAACATACATAGATGGCCAATATACAGATTGTAACACACAATGTCAGAGGGCTAAACACTCCTGAAGATCCTTGACACTCAATGAACTACACAAACTAAAAGCTGACGTTGCGTTTCTGCAAGAAACACATTTCAAACACAAGGCGGCTCCTCACCTGCGTAACAGAAGATACCCAACTGGATACTTTAGCAATTTCACAAAATCTAAATCCAGGGGAGTAGCAATACTTCTCTCAGCACATAGTAGAGAACCAAAGGTGTCACTTGAATAGAAAGTGATCACAAGGTTACATTTCCAAAAATAATAAATAACAAAATAATTTTATTAGTTTATTACTCTAAAAAGTACCAGGACAAATTAAACTGTGTAACCTGATGTGAGGGGGAACAGCCCTGAGTGAGATGCTCAACAGTGATGTCCCGAACGGTTCGCTGGCGAATAGTTCCTGGCGAACATCGCTTGTTCACGTTGCCACGGACGGCGAACATATGCGCTGTTCGGTCCGCCCCCTATTCATCATCATTGAGTAAACTTTGACCCTGTACCTCACAGTCAGCAGACACATTCCAGCCAATCAGCAGCAGACCCTCCCTCCCAGACCCTCCCACCTCCTGGACAGCATCTATTTTACATTCATTGTGAAGCTGCATTCTTAGTGAGAGGAGGGACAGTGTAGCTGCTGTTGATTTGATAGGGAAATTGATCGCTAGGCTAGTGTACTCAGTGTCCACTACAGTCCTGAAGGACTCATCTAATCTCTGCTGTAAGGACAGCACCCCAAAAGCCCTTTTTAGGGCTAGAACATCAGTCTGTTTTTTTTTCTGTGTAATGTAATTGCAGTTGCCTGCCTGCCTGCCAGCCTGTGTGTCAGGCTCACAGCATATACTGTGCCCACTTGCCCAGTGCCACCACTCACTGGTGTCACAATAGCTTGCATTTAAAAAAAAACAAAAATCTTTTTTGACTGTAATATAATAGCAGTCAGTTTCCTTCACTAGTGTGCGTTTCAGGGCCTACCCAGTGCCACCACTCACTTACTGGTGTCACAATAGCTTGCATTTAAAACAAACAAAAATTTTTTTGACTGCAATATAATAGCAGTCAGTTTCCTTCACTAGTGTGCGTTTCAGGGCCTGCCCAGTGCCACCACTCACTCACTGGGGTCACAATAGCTTGCCTTTAAAAAAACAAAAACTTTTTTGACTGTAATATAATAGCAGTCAGTTTCCTTCACGAGTGTGCGTTTCAGGGCCTGCCCGGTGCCACCACTCACTCACTGGTGTCCCAATAGCTTGCATTTAAAAAAAACAAAACTTTTTGGACTGTAATATATTAGCAGTCAGTTTCCTTCACGAGTGTGCATTTCAGGGCCTGCCCAGTGCCACCACTCACTCACTGGTGTCCCAAAACTGTTTACAAAAATCCTGGCTAACCATCTCTGTCCCCTTCTACAGACCCAGACCCACTCAGATCAAGCCGGATTCAAGCCACACAGGGAAGCCAAACACAACACCACAAAACTACTCAACCTGATACACATAGCGCAACGCCAACCGACGCTGAAAAAGCGTTCGATCGTGTAGACTGGACGCTACTAATAGCCACCCTATAGAAACTGGGCTTTGGCCCATGCTGGATACGCTGGATGCAAGCCATATACTCCTGCCCAACCGCACGGCTCCGTGTCAATGGCCAACTCTCGGACCCAGTCCACATAAGGAACGGGATGAGACAAGACTGCCCACTATCCCCTCTCCTGTTCATCCTTACTCTAGAACCCCTCCTAAACGGGCATTCCAGTACAGCAAGCAGAATATAAAATCTCCGCTTTCGCAGACGACCTCCTCTTTACCATCCAAGCACCCGATACCTCAATCACCCCCCTGATGGAGAAATTATCCTTATACAACACACTGTCGAACTTCCAAGTCAATTTCTCAAAAAGCTAAATATTACCACTAAAATTGGCTCCTCAAACGAGCACACTCCTGACAGCAAAATTCCCGTTCGCGTGGGCAGACAAATCCATCCTATATCTAGGAGTGCACCTATCAGCTTCCCTGACTTCCGTTTTCGACTTAAACTATGAACCACTATACCAAAATATCTCTAAAGACCTACAGGCCTGGCAAAAAATGCAATTCTCCTGGCTATGCAAAATAAATATCCTTAAAATGAACACCCTCCCGAAGTTACTATGCCTATTTCAAACCCTACCCATAGCCATACCCAAAACCTTCTTTGCCAAACTTAGACGTCTTTTCACAAAATTCATCTGGGCACACAAACACCCCAGAATATCATACAAGATTCTAACTTGACACAAATCTTGTGGAGGCCTAGGGCTTCCGCATATGGAGAGATACTACAAAGCGACCCTACTAACTAGAATTTACGAATGGTCCCAAAACCCACCGACACACCAATGGGTTAAACTGGAAGCTGCTATGCTCAAAGTCCCTCCACACATAGCCCCTTGGCACAAAGCACACACATCAAGGCTGGCCACGGACCATGACACACACCCCACAATACCACATACACTCAAGATATGGGACAGACTACGTGAAGCTATCGATATATCCCCGCACCCATCCCCTCTATACCCCAGTACTCACAACTCGCTCTTTGAGCCAGGAATGATGCCTACACACTATGAGGAATACCGGCGCACCTACAATGAATCATACCTGGCTTTGGGAGCCGTTTTGGATAGAGGCGAGCTGAAACCGCTATCCAACCTCACGCGGAAACCCCACAAGATTCCTGTCCAAACCATACACGGATACATAACAGTCCAACCAGACACACCAATACTCAACCTAAAAGGGCCAAAACACATTGGGCCCCTCTCGGTCTGTCCATCCCCCTCCCCCCCTCTCCTTTCTCCCTCCCCCCTCTCCCCCCCTCCTCTCGTAAAGATACGAATGAATACGCACATCCCATGAACCAACCAGACAGGTAACCAGACACAACCTAATGGGTTAAGTTACCCACTACGCACTGCCAGACACTAGCCAAAGGGATACATTGTCCACAACATAACACTGGCTGGGAAGCAACCTCAGAGCCAACTCAACTGACAGCAGGACCGATGTGACTGCTATACCACAAGTCCGACCCACGATACCCATATCTAGAATGCCAAGCCCCCACTCAACTGCAAACTTAGACTGCAAGCAGCCTATGGGGCTCTCAGTGAACCCCCAACCCAAACACTCCCAAGACATGGAGGCAGTTTCAGATAAGTAAAAGGGATACCCAGTCACGCCCAACCAGGTTGAGCCATCTTCCGTGTAATCTGATTTGTATTTTGATGTGTACTGTATGCCATTTTGTAAATTACTTTGTTTGAAGTCACTTGTATATTATACTGTTTGACAACACATGTATAACTGAACTGCTAATTCTAAATAAAACTTACAACAAAAAAAAAGATTTGACAACATATCAGATAGTTTAAAGTTAATTAAATATTTCTCCAACACAACATTACAGGGTTTTCTCTCCCAGGATCCTTTGTGTCTGAGAGATAATTGTGTGAAAAAACTATAACTCAATTATCTCTCAGGTACAGGAAAACATACACAAAATATATAATCCCCCTAAAGTACCTCCATTATAACCAGGAACCCCACAAAAGTTACATCCCCGGTAAGCTCTGGTCTGAGTGTCCAGCTTGGCCAAGCATCACTCATATCCATTCAGCAGAATTGGATTGCCACCGGGGTAACGTTTTGACTTGCTGGCCATGAGGTGATGTCCCGAAACATTTCCAGAGAAATAGGTGCCCCAGCCAGTCTCTGTTCAGTGGTTCCTGTGTGAACACCATGCAAGGGATTCTCCTAATCTCTCAAACGTCATTAGCATAACTGGTCAGTTGGACGGGCAGCGGTATAATCTTTATTCATGCAAGTGCCTAGCCGGAAAGGGTTCCAGGCACTCGGCGACCAAGTACCTCTCCCCACATTTGGGAGACAAAATGGCCACCGTACTTTTCTCGACCACATGTATTCGGTTACACAAAATGGCGCCACCCAAGGGAAGCATTCATTAATTAATTCCCTTGCGGCTTCACATTTAAGTTGTTGGTGTGAACGTTCTAAAGGGGGACAAGGATGGTCCTCATTCGTGAGTCGAATACAGTGTGTTCGGATACAGCAACTCCCGAAGATATAAAATTATAAAATCCATGAAAAGAATGGTATGTCACACTTACTATGCAATATCAGCTTTGTAAGTCAACCAGAGCTCCCTGACTGAGCCCATACAAGGGGTTTCTCTAGTTTGCAAGCTCATTCTGAGCCGTGCCCCTGCAGAGCTCCCGTGGATTATTGTATCATATTTTATTTTTTCTGTAATTTTGGGATATGGCGGTTATTTTTCATTTTCAAGATCCAACAGACCAGTATGAATTTGTATTTTTTTTTTTTAGGGGCTTAATAAATAAAGAAGAAAATAGGAAAGACAGCAATTTTTTTTCAGGTATTTAATTGCCCCACTCAATTATATTATAATGAGAGGAAAGTATAATTTTTATTTTTTGAAGGTGTGGCTAATTGCTTTGGGAACCATATATGCCCAGTCAGAATGGCTTGTCCACCACCCTTGAATATGTAATTAGAGCCCCACCACTACACATGGGTGGGAGCTGGGAAAAAATAGATCCCATCTGTTATCAATATAAGAGCCTCTACCCATCGCTCACTAAACACCCAAAATGTAACTTAAGCAACACTTTGGGGGGTCAGGAGGTTGTACATTAGCAGTGACCAGGGAGAAATAGCTGCCATTATTTTATTGCAGTGAGCAGTGTTTGCTGCGTAACAGAAATGCCCTTGCTCATGGCGACTTGGGGCACGAAAGAGTTATAAAACTTCCCTTGTCTTAATGTGTGAGTCATAATGATCCCCCACAAACAGGTTTAAGCTATTTGCCATCTGGCTGTTAGTTCCACCAGAGGGAAAATAGTTAATTCTGAATCCTGAAGCAACTGGCCATTGCATGTTTCAGTTGATTTGGGATTAATCATGTGGTGACTCAGTCGGTGATGTATTCTTGTTTTGTGCTGCCCTAGGCATGACAAATCCTGGGAACTGCCCCCATGCCTTCCAAATTTCCCTTCCTGACAGACAAACGCCCTCACTGATGCATGCACGACATACACTCACTAACAGATACACAGTCATTGTCACACACACTGTTTAACAAACACACACACTTTCACTGAAACATACATACATGTTCACAGATATACTCACTAAAAGACACACACTAACACACTAACACAATTACTAACACACTCACTAAGAGACACACACACACACACTCACTAGCAGACACACACTAACAGATACACATTTGGGGGGGAGGAGTGGCTTTCTTTGCTGCCCCTCTGAAAGTGCAGCCCAAGGCAAATGCCTTGTCAGCCTCTCAGTAGTTACAGCACTGGACTCAGTTTTTTAGCAGAAATGGGCCACACGATTTCTGACCGCAGCCCTATTCACAACAATAATTATGGAGGAGAAATAAATTAACATTTCAGGATGGAAAGAATATCAGAAATAATATCAGTGATAATAAATATAGAAAAATTATTGAAAAATATCTACTGTCATTAATTGTAAACTGATTTATACATTTTGCAGTCAATGTCAATAAGACAGTTTTAGCAAGTTCACTTTTGAATTCAACTGAGGTTTAAACAGTATAATATAACACTTTGGAAAGAATATGCAGATTAGAATTCCAGCACTAGAAGCTATTATAGCAAAAATCTCAACAATCACAGTGTTTTTCCCCATAACACTCATATAAGCCGGGATAAACGTGATCCACACATTGCAGAAAACCAACATGCTGAAGGTGATGTACTTGGCTTCATTAAAACTATCCGGCAATTTTCTGACCAAGAAAGCGACAATGAAACTCACAACTGCAAGGAACCCCATGTAACCCAGGACAGTGTAAAAGGCAATGACTGAACCTTCATTGCACTGAATGATGATCTTTCCAGGGTAGGAGTGAGTGTTCATCTCCTGGAAGGGGGGTGAGACAGAGAGCCAACTGATACATATCATAACCATAGTAAATGAACAAATAAACACCACACAGTTGGGTATTTTTATCCCCATCCATTTTCTCCAAGAGTTGCCTGGTTTGGTAGCTTTGAAAGCGATGCAAACCATGATTGTCTTGGCCAACAGAGAAGACACAGCTACAGAGAAGATAATTCCAAAAGAGGTCTGACGCAGCATGCAAATTATATCCACTGGGCGACCAAGGAACAGAAACACAAAAAGGAAGCTCAGTATGATTGAAACCAACAAAATAAAGCTGAGATTTTGATTATTAGCTTTAACGATGGGAGTGTCTCGGAATAAAATAAATATACATAAGTTAATGGAAGCGGTTATTGAAAATAAAATAGAAACAATAGAAAGTGCTAAAGCTATTGGATCATTTCTGATGGATAAAAACTCAGTGAGTTTATTGATGCATTTGTCCTTTCCTTCATTTGGCCATTTGTCATCAGGACACTTTTGACAAGATATCTTGTCTATAAAAAAAATGGAAAAAGCATGAATTATTTTCAAATTGCATGATGACATGATTATACTTTTCATAAGATCAAATAAGGAAAATTAAAACAATACTTACCTGGTGATTTTCTTTCCCTGGCTATTTATCATGGCAGCATCACCTATTGGTTAGCTCTGCCCTCAGGACAGGAAAAAAATAACCAATTTAAAAAGAGACTGAGTGTTTAAAATGCTTCTCCTTCCTTCACACACCAGTCTCATTTCCAAGCTAAAATAAGAGAGGGTGGGAGACTGTTGCCATGATAAATAGCTAGGAAAAAAATAATTACCAGGTAAGTATGGTTTTAATTTTCCTTATTTCTGGCTAATCATGTCAGCATCACTTACGGGTAATACCCAAGCTTAATAAAATAGGGAGAGAAAATTAGTAAAGGGAGTAAAGAGCGGGACACCAGAATGATGTTACAAGCTCATAATTTATTGCGCAGAGAAACGGTGGATAAGAGGAGGCAGAGGAATGCAAATCCAGCTTGTAATGCTAATGAGGGTTGTTAGGGTAGACAAAGTAGCTACTTTGCAGATGTCCTCTGAGAAATATTTGCCCAATTTTCCCAAGAAATAGCCAAGGACCTGGTAGAATGAGCCATAATCTTTTCCAGATGAGATAGCTGTTTTTTTTAGATAGGCATCAGAGATAACTACAGCAATCCGATGTCTTAATGTAGAAGATGAGGCAGCTTCCTATTTATGGAGACCTGAATGTAAAACAAATAGTCTATTTGATTTTCCTAAATTCCGAAGTAGAATACATATTAATGATGCACTCGATCACATCCAGCTCATGCAGTTTAATTTCTTACAGGGTGAAAAGAAAAGCTTAGAAGGAAGAGAGCACCACTTTTTAGATGAAAGTTAGAAACAACTTTTAAAAGGAAATTCTCTCTAGTGAAAGATGAGCGTATGAGATTATTCACTAGAAAAGGCCTGTAATTCCAAAATATGTTTCACTGTGGAAATGGCACAAAGAGGACACAGTATGTATGTGAGATGTTGAATAGTAATGTCTGAAAGAAGAGCCTGACTGAGACAAATTTGGAAATACTATGGAACTGCCGAGCAGTTTGGAACTGTGACACAGCCCACTAAAAAATTAGGGGCGTAGAATGGACTCCATGCTGCAGATTATGGCACTATTTTAACAGCTTGGAAACTCTGGGTTGATCTAACTGGGGATACCACATATGTGGGTGTCTACCCCTGTTTCCCATATTTTTTTTTTTTTTTTTTTAAGGGTAATTGTATTAAGCGCCTGAGTGTCTGGTAGTTAATTGAGTTAGTGGTGCTTGATCTAATTTACTCAAAGACACAGAGATGCCTGGGAAGGGTTTCCATTGTTATGTTAAGGACACCAGGCTGGGGGTCTGTGTATAAATGTAGTTGCAGTTGTAGTGCAGTTGAAAAATGAAAGTGTCTTTTGTTTTCATCCTTCATCAAGTCTTGGCTGACGTTTGGGTGAACTGCTATGAGCTGTTATAATCACTGAAGATGTCCTCCTGGAAAAGGATAGATTTTAATATAGATACTCAGGCTGAGTACCACGCTCAGGGGATTGGGATTGGGATTCAGACTCCATTTTCCTGGGAATTATGCTGAGGTAATCCACAAGCTGTTTTTCTGGTTCGGGAAGATAAATAGCTTTTAGACCTTTCATGTGGAGTTAGGCCTAAATCATCAGGGGAGAAAAGTTCTGAAGGAGTTGGTTGCTTCTAGTATGTCCTTGGTGATATATATATAAACAGCCACTGTCCTATTGTCTGTCTTGATTAGGATCCATGGGCCTCTGATGACATATTTAAATTTTATGGTGGCATATGAGATTCCTTTCTGATGGTTTGCAGAGCCTTGAATCCATATTGTGTTGGTGTGCAATCCACAGCCTATTAGGTTGGCATCAGTTGTAATTGTTTGCCAGGCCATTTTTTTCTAGAGGGAACCCTCTAAGACGATACTTCTGTTGAATCCACCATCTCAGTTGATTCTTCACTTGATCAGGAATATGAATTAACTGATCCCAGTCTAATGTCTTGCTGTAAAACTGGTTAAAAAAATTCTTCTAAATTAGTCTGGAGTTTCATTGGGACTATTGGACAAGACCTATCATTGAGGATAGAGCGCCCTGCATGCTCATATTTGTCCTGGTTGATACTCATGATTCTTGAAGAAGTTGACACATTTTCTGCTTGATTCTCAAGTTCTTTCTTGAAAGATTGACATTTGATATTATCAAGTTTATTTACACCCAAAAAAACAATGCTCATTGTGAAGATGTGAAAGAGCTATTTTCCTTCTTGAAACCTTCAAAACTTGCTCAGTGTGGCTTTCTGAAACGTAGAAGTGATGGTCAGAATGTTGTCCAAATAATAGAAGATTTATATGCCTTTGTTCCTGGGAAAGACTATTAAGATGACGATGGTTTTTTAGAAGGTTCTGTGAGCCAGGCTTAGTCTGAACTGAAAGTGTCTTTTAAGATGAAAAAAAGTGAGAAAATTGAAGTGTTGATTGTGAACAGGGATTTGATAATATGCATCCTTCAAGTCTATACATGTTAGCCAGTCTCCTTGCTTGATGCAGGGAATAATTGTGGAAATAGATTCCATCTTGATTGACAGATCTTTTTGATATGTATTTATTACTTTTAGATCTATGATCAATCTAGATTTCCTGTTGGATTTTGGGGCCAGAAGGGCTAGAAAATGAAGGACTTTGAATCCTTTGGGAAGAGAAACCTCTTCTATTACTTCCAGATGAAGAAGTTTGGATTAGCTTTCTGACATGGCCCTTCATTTTCTTCCTAGTGGAACTATAGACTTTTTGAATGAATTGGTCCTTGGAAATGTCTCAAACTCCAGGATAGAAAGGATCCTTTCTCTGGGATAGAAAGTCCTGCCCAGGAGACTAAATTATTTTTGGTCCAGACTGGGTAGAAATAATGGAGACTTCTTCCTATGAGATCTGGCTGGGCTGGCACACCTTCATAAGCTCTTGATGAATTTAGAGATGGAGGAAGATGACTGAAAATTTCTCTAGGACAAGTCCCTAGAGTATTCTTTCCCTGGACAGTAAGATCTAATTTCTTGAAATAATCAGTTATGAAATCTGAAGATCTTTTCCCTTGTGGAAGAAACACTTTCTTGTAGTCGGTGGATTTCTGAATTGCTTCATTCAAAGCTTTCCTAAAGAGGTCTCGCTAGAAAGGTAAGGAGCATAGGGAAGATTTTGAAATGTAGCCCACTCCCCATGAATGAAGTCATAGTGCTCATCTGGATGCTATGGTTAAGACCATGCTGTAACAAACCCCTGTACTTTTTATAGTACATTCATTCGCACTCTCCAGAAATCCTATAAGGTAGTGTGAATTATAGCCCATTCGCATAGTATGTTCATTCATACACTATGTGAGAAATAAAGCGCTTCAACGTTCGCATAGCCAAATATCAGTCAAAACTTGATGAAGGGTACAACAGGAATGTTTTGTTATGGCCAGATGACTCACTTTTATGCACAGACCCCCAGCATGGGATCTCCAGTAAAAGTATAGGAAAAACACGCCTAGGCGTCGCTGTGTCTGGAACATAAGGGAGTTTATTTATTTAAACTAATTATCTTCCAGGCACTAAAGGTACAATGAATAAAATATGAAACAATCCAAAACATACATAATATTGATAAGGACCACCAAAAGTCTTATATCCCCGGATATCCTTGATCTGAGTGACCAAAGCGTCCAAATAGCGCTCAGATCCCACAAATGCAGATGAATCGCCACCGGGGTAAAGTTTTGACCAACTGCACATGTGGTGACTGCCTAAAATAGTTCCAGAAGAAAAGTGGTAGCTGTCGGTCACTTTCGGGAGTCCCCAAAAAAAAAAAAACCTGGCCCCCTGGCTCATAGGTAGCGATTGTTTGTCCAGTTCATGCGTACCTTTCCACATAATAGCGCTCTCCTGGCTTGTCGGGAATAGAAGCAGGCGGCAGTACAAAGTTACCAGTGTTCGCGAGTTATAGTGTCCGGCTTTGTGTTCCAGACACTCGTGACCGAGTACCGCTGCCTGCATTTGGGAGACAAGATGGCCATCATTTTCCAGCACACGTGGCTTTCAGTTATCTGAACGGCAGCCACCCAGAGAGAGCACTTAACATTATGGTTCCTTTGAGCCAGGGGGTGGTCTGCTTTTGGTAGATAGAACCACCAAATAAAACCGAAAATTACTTGGGCTAGGGGAATCACAGGGTTTTCAGGGTAGTTTGTGACACATGTTCTCAGCAACAATTATGTTATGTCCAAGGATGCTTTAGAACTCAATTCTCTGGCTAACTTGAAGTCTCTGATGTTATCGATAAGATGTTCTTGTTTGACTCTTCTATAATTTTTTCTTCTTAGTTGACTAATCAGATCTTAACAGCTCTAGATAACGTGGTTAATGCAATAGCTGGAAGTAAAGGACCCTTTACACACTCTGTTAATCTTTTAATTGGTTATTTTTTTCATGTCAGGGTGGCACTAACCCATAAGTGATGCTATCACGATTAACTAGACAATTTTACATTATAGGACACAATTTGATTATCACTTTTTTACAAAATAAAACAATGTTACAAATCATGAAAATATTACTTCATTACACAATTAATAATTACTTTAAAAAATGACTGTAGATCAAATATTATTTCTCCAACATTCTGATCTATAATGTCCTAATTTCCTAATTTTGAATCATCCTTACTGTCCATTTGGAACACTAAATGCTACAAATGAATTAAAGTTTTACTGAACCATTCAGGATAGGACTGTAAACCTGACAAAGATGAAAATGGGGTCCAAACAAACCCTGTGATGGCCCTACTGGGTGCAGTTATTCTTCCACCAATTAAAAGATGCTTAGAACTAGTGAGACATTTCTACCAATAAATTTACAGAATTGGAAAATAGCTATAAATTGCCAAAAGGAGACTTCTCTTTAGTTCTCTCTGTGTTCTATGTGTTTTTATTATTATCATTAAATGCAGGTTTTGTTTTCAGTTTATTTACATTCAGTTCATGTGAAATGATGAGTTAATTGTCTACGCATTGTATGAAAAGGAAGCAACATTTGCCAATAGAAGTCAGGAATATAATTTATATTTTTAAATATACTGTATATATTTAGTATACCTTTGTAAATGTGTATTGTTAAAAAATCAATGAAAAAAAAATGCCAACAGATTAAAAATAATAAAAATGAAATTGATATTAAAATGTAACTTAAGAATGTAATACTTTGTAGGATTCACTGTGACCTTCTGCACAGACCAAGACGTTACAAAGTCAATCATGATCCTTTCTGTATCCAACAAATGAGGCTGAGCACACTAAACAGGGGGATATTTCAATGTGTGAGGCACAACTGGATCTCAAAACTGATGACCACTTTTCAGCTCTCCTAGAAACTCTTACTGTGCAGACTGATAACAATATATAATTGTATATATTTAGAGCAAAAAAGAGAGGTCTAGGTTTGGAGAGATGGACAGAATGGGAAGGTGGGTAAGTAACAAAGTTAGTTCTTATTTATTATTTTTTTAAAAAGCTAAAGCTTATAAAACAAAAACAGCATTATTGTGTTCTAATCAACACGTTTTACCAAGCAGGAGAGTGGGTCTGTAGAGTCCCTTAAAAGGAGCACTCAAAACACCATAACCACTACAGCTGCAGTGGTTATGGTGCAAGAGGAGCACTAGTGCCATTCTATGGAAATATGTCAAATTGTTTTAACATGGTTTGATGACTTACCTACTTATGGTGCTTTAACAAGTGGATCATACTTCAGTTTTTGTTGTTACTCTCAGAAGCCACTTATTAAAAATGCTGGTGGTATTAGACAGAGGTCATGGGGAATGGGTATAGATGTACATTTTTAAATTGCTGTGTGTTTTTATTTCATAGTCTTTTATAACTATTTGAGGTTTTGACCTGTTCTTTTGAACAACCCACCACACAGCACAAATTACATTATTGCAATACAGTTTAATCACTATAGATTTTTTTTGTTTTTCTATATATCAATTAAAATATTGGTTTGTGTAAAAAAATGATAGACAGACAGACAGAGGATAGATTGCCATGATTTCAATCGGAATTAGTAAATAACACTAAAAATGAAATATAAAATTTGGTGACAGTTTGGTTACATGACGATTTGACCAGAAGGTCCCTACAGTTTTCACCTGTTTGGTTGGATATCTCTCCGTCTGGGCACGGTGCACAACTGAAGCAGCAAATATGTATTGATTCTCGTGGTACCTGTCTGTAGCCGGGAGGACAGTCTTCAGAACATCTTGAAAGTGGAATCTAAAGACATAATACACTGGCTTTTTTAAATCTTGTTTTAAAACAAATTTCGAAATATGAAGTTTCATTTCAGACATGAATAATAGTGCTGTTTTATAAAGTTACTTTATTCAAATCATTGTGCAGTCTAAAAGTCTGTCCTGAGAGTGTTTGCACATGTTTATTTTGTGTCTGTAACAAAGTTCAGGTCTAGTTTGCTATATATCTAATATATTTATGATGGTATTTGACCACCTTTTCATCATTATTTGTTACTTAGATTTTACTTTGAGTAAACTAGTTTAACTAACTACTTAAAGCCACAAATATGGGGCTCTCCTTAGACATATTATGCCCCCAGAATAAAAATAGTTTTGGATGTGTCTCATGTAGTCCTACAAGGTGCTTTGTTCATGTTCCTTGTGGATCTGGACTACGAGATGCTAATAGGTGCCTTAATTAACATTCCTGCTTCCTGCAGACATAATAAAAGGATGTTATTTGTCTGGATTAGATTAATATTGAGTATAGTACATGTGCACAAAATAATTGTTTATGCCAAGACTTTCTTAATTGGTCTAGTGCAGGGGTAGGCAAACTTTTAGCAGCACTGTGCCAATATAGGATTGTGATGTCCCGTAGCGTGCCGGTCCTTTTTTTTAACATTGAGGACTGAATGCTGCCGTATTCTGCTAGTGTTATTTATACTGTAATTGCTTTGTCTATTTGTATTTGTGCGTATATGAGCTATTATATTGTATATGTTCAGAAGTAGTTTGTGGTATCATGTATGATACATATGAATGTGGGTTGTGTATGGGGGGCTGCTTGTGGAATTGTGTGTGTGGATGGATGTGTCACATTGTGTGTTTGGTAGTGTGTGTATGTGTGGGGTATTGCATGTGAGAGGCTGTATGTGGTGTTGTGTGCATGTATGTGAATTGTTAGCGGGTTACGTTTGTGCGGATTGTGTGTATGTTTGTTTGTGGGCTGTTCGTATTATTTGTATAAAGGGAGGCTTATTGTGCATTTCTGTGTATATCTAGCAGTATGGTGGCTTCCCTAGGTTCCAGTGGAGACCAGGCTGGCCAGGTACAGGTGAAGGGCAGGAGCTGCAATATCCGCTGTGGGCTGCTCTACCCCAGTGTGGATTCCCATTCACTAGTGCTGGGAGGAAGGGACCTGAGATCACTTACTCTATGTGCTGCAATGCATAAATTGAGGATTGTCCTTTTCGTATTAGCAGATATCTGAAGTTTCACTGGGACTTCTGATAGGCCAGAGCCTGTTTGGCTCTAGCAGCCTTGAGTGCCGTGGAAAGACACCTTGAGTGCCGTGCATGGCGCTAGTGCCATAGGTTGCCTACCCCTGGTCTAGTGGATAGTTCCAATACACCCTGGGCACCATAATCACTACAGTGAGCTGTAGTGAATATGTTGCTTAGAGCTCCCCTTTAATAAATTTCACTCTGAGCATATTTAAGATAAAAAAAACAATACTTCTTCTATGGAAAACAGAAGTTATAAACCCTCACAAATAAAACTTCCATAAACTTGATTAGCTCATTGATTAAACATGAATGATAGTCGAATACCACTTAAAACTAGAAGCTATCTCATAGCTGTTTATGTAAGTTTTATTGGTGAGTGTTCAAACTTTTACTTTCCTTAGAGGAAGAATTTTGTTTTCTTTTGTCTGGAGTATTTGATGCTCAATGTAGAGTTACCCCCTTTTTACCCTCACTAGATGACCTTATCAGAACCCTTAATGCATATGGGGATTCCTGTGTAAGCATTTTTCTTTTTCAAATATTGCATATTTAAGACAGCAGTTATGGTTTGCTATTGATTCACCATGTTGTTTGTTATGTATGCAAACTGAAAAATATTTAATGAACATTAAAATATCTGATGTGGTGTAGGGTTTTATCTTTGTAATATGAATATTATCATTCTTTGTATTAGTTCCAGGTGCCATTGTAACAATAAAATCAATGTTATTCACTTCACCTGTCAGTGGGTTTAAAGTTGTGACATATCTGTACATGGAGAGGTAGGTGACAGATTTAGATAGATAGATAGATAGATAGATAGGTAGATAGACACTTCTTTCCCTATTTAATATCAATTATGTGTCTTACATAAAATATTGCATAGCTATTTTTTATGTTTAATTACATATTTATTATATCAGTTACTATTTCTACTTTTAATCTGTCAATGATTGAGCTTTTTCAGTTAGTATTTTTTTAAATAAATAATACCAAAGTATTTACAAAGAAGATATATATTTTTTTCTTATTTGCATGAATATCATCTTATATTCTGACCTCAGTAGCACTATTTTTCCATGTTATGAGCGTCTCATTGATGATAAGTTGTTGTCCATTTGGAGCAGATACATTTAACTTCCCAACACTATTTGTCATTATTTGCCCATTGGGTAATATGATACAGTTTTCAATGTCATACACTGTTGGCATCTCTCCATTCTCATCGAAATATACATCCTCCCCGGTGGGATCTTTAAAATGTAGTCTTCTTAAAAAGTACTGAAATAATCAAATGTTAATCTTTTTATGTGTTGGCATTCTTTTCAAAGTGTCATTATTTCAATAAAAAAATAACAAAATATGACAAAAAACATAAAACAAAAAAATGAATTCTACAATTACAGAAATCTTTAATTTTCCCTTTGGAACGCCGAAACCCAGAAATAGGAGTTTAAGGAATGATTTAAAAAATTTAGCAAACACCCAACTTGCAAGTCAAATGCTGTCTGTTATTTATGGTAATATATAGTACTATAACTAGTCTGTTGAAAATACAAGTATTTTGGACTTTGTTTAGTTAAAATTGTGTTGGTGATGAGACCAAGTTCATTCAGGGTTATGGGCAAAGGCCAGAGATTGCCTAATCCAGAATAGCACAAACTAACTGTATTTTAGTGCTCTCTACGTTAAGATATTCTTTCTTAACATCAGAACAATGATAGCAAGCAGACCCTGATAATAAAATTAATATTCGTTATTTTTCCTTGGTATCTGGGAGAAATTGATGTTTTTCCTGCAATCATTGTCTTGATTTTTAGGTAACAATAAATTGTTATTCAGTTCTATAAATCAATAAGTAAGTTGTGTCAGCAAACACATTCATACTTATAGTGTTGGTAGTGCTTTTGACCCTTACATCTTTGAAAGTAATTTAAAAATTCACAAACCAATCTTCTCCAATACGATGGTATCATTAAAGTTGTACACTTGCTCCATTATCCCTGGCACAGAGAGCAGTTTCCACTGGTGCATTTCACTATACATGGTTTTTGTATTTTATTCTCTTCTATGTATTACCATTTTGCAACTGAGAGTCACTTCAAATATGTGATTAAAGTAAGTGTACTCTATTGAATTTTTTTGTGTGCACAAATCACTTTAAAATATATTTTTTATTTTTTTTGCATCAAGCACTTTGAATATATATGCACATTGCACTTTTTAAAGAGCGGAATGAGGTTTTTGCACTATTTTCACTTTATTGATGTTGTGAGGAAATTTGCACTTTATATAAAATTATTCTAGCACACTTATTTTTTAGTTATTAGATAAGACTTCCCTATGGAATGTCTGGTGATCCCAAGTGACTTGGAATAGCAATAGTTACTGCAATTAGTATGTGCCCAATAATGATCTTGTCTATCTTTGCAGTGGTGTCTGAAAAACTCTTAAATAAAGCCATCTCAGGGGTAGGCACAGTGATAGCAGAATTCACCATTTAAATCAATTCATTTCTTTCTAGCAAGTTGTTAAACATGGGCAGAACCAAAATGTGATAGAGTACTAGATAGGCCACAATTTATCCAGCGCTTACAAGATAAGTTCAAATTAATGTCATGTAGGGGGCAAATATTGTCTGTAAACTAATTTGAGGAGGTTCTCCCAGTAATAGTAGCATTGAGCTATTCCCCTTTAGAGCGAGAACAAAGCTAAGCCATTCCTCTAGCTCATATGGAGATCCCAAGTCCTTTTCCGAGGCCGGCATATGGAGAAGTTTAGTCACTGGAAAAATATAGCACTGGGAAATCGTTCCTTTTCTTTCAGGGTTATATAGATAAAAAAAATTCTAGGTTGCATGATGCAAATTATTTTATAGTTTTGGTCTAAATTTTGAATTGATAATTTGTCTTTTAATATAGCTATAATCAAGTTATATTCCAATTGTAAATCATTAATAAGGCCAAATTTGTCTTCTAGTTTTTCAAAGAAAGCATCTCAATTTAGAATTTGATGTTGATGCCAATGTTCCAAACTGATTTGGGAAATATCATGTTATAAAAAGGGAAAATGGCATTGCATGGCACCAGCCAGAGAAGAGTCCAACCACTTCAAATACAATATCCCAAGCTTTGTGGTAGGGAACATCTCAGCCTGCTTGGGTCTTTTAGAAGGTGGAACCAAACTGTTTCCCTAATTTAATTTTAATTTTACCCAATTTAGTCCTCTCTATTTCTAACCATTTTGGATGGTGAGACAACATATTGAATTTTAGTGCTGCAGCAGCATTGTAGGCATGATAATATTTAAGGAAGTCTGGCATTCCCATGTTTTGTGGTTCGTGGTTTTTGGATGAATTATTTTGCACAATTTAAAAGGTTTCACAAAAATTACTCTGTTAAACTTTTAGGAGAACCAAGATGACTGGCGACTCTGTGCTTTAAAGAGCATCAAGATGGCCACCAGTCATGTGTCCTGGTGTAAACTCACAATAGACATCACCTAGTTACACTGACAATATAGTTAATGGAAGCCCATATATATTTACAAGTATTCAAAAGCAACCCTTTTATTTTGTACAGCTATAATTTTAAATCATTAGCTGCATAAGGTATTTCGGCAGAGTTATATCCTAACATAAAGACCAAATAACAATCACTCACAGTGCAGCAAATGATAAAGTTTAATAAAAAGATGTTAAAGAAAATATTACAAATATTAATAAACATGTTCTAGCTAAACACTTGCAATACTAGCCAATTATCCTTTGCAATACTTATCGTATATTTCCCACGATTGCAGTTAAAACATATCAAAGTCTATTCAAGAGATTTAATCTAAACACAAGTATAAAAGCTATAACAAAATTATACAGTTTTATACTTAACGTCTCAGGATCTTACATGAAATGGAGATCAAGGTTTCTGCTGCTCTGGATAGATGAAGCTTCAAGTCCCAGGATAAAAAATATGGGCATAGAGCACGTACTTGCAGCCTTAGAAAAAAATAGTAAGGCTGCATGTGCCCCTGTACTGCTACATCGCTGCTATCCCCAACAAACTCCAAAAACTAACTGTCAAACATCCACAAAACAGTTTCACAATAACCATAGTAACATGTCCCTCCTTCCAGCCTATTCCCTACCCATCAACCTGCCTCTTGACTCTGAACTGGTTAAACTGTTTTTTTAACTAACTGTTTCAGTGCTTAAAAATGGCATTTATGCAGCGAATATCTGTTAAACGGGGAATTTTTAACTTTGAGAATTATGAGCGTAAAAGCACAAATATTGTGTTAAAATAGTAGTCCTATTTCATTTCCATAACACCTTGCCACCATAACTTTTAGGGTTTTAGTACTGAAAATGTTATCCTACTCATTCTGTTACCCCCAAATAAATTTGATCAACGTTAATTTTATTAACTTAAAGAAGGATATCGGAATGGCCAGGGGAATGGTTCTTAGACAATAAAGGACTTTCGGTATAATGCTCATTTTGAACACCTCTGAAACTTCTACCTTCCGTGCATTCGGCTAAATTCATACGAACAGTACACTATTTCTAGGGAATAAACTCTCGACCAAGCCGCATCTAATGACAGTAAGTACAACCCGATCTGTTCATGCAATTTGTACTTTATGTGAAAGAGAAGCTAGACCGCACAGCCTGAATCTGTGGAACTGTTTTGGGTAGGAAAACATGCATGCGGTCGGTCAAAAGAGACTTTCTCCTGTCTACCGAACCCCTGAACTGATTCAGGTGATTTTTGAATATGTTTGTCCCCTAGTTATGCCGCTTCTAAAAATATAAGTTTTATTAATATTGGATGTATAATCATGATGTTATAAAAAGTGTATAAAAAGTATATTTTTTTGCTTGGAGATAATGGAGTTGATACAGTAATTAACTCAATTATCTCCCAAGCAGAGGGGAGGAATTTACTGTAATAAGCGGGAGTGTTTATCTTTGTGCCTGTACATGATTGGTTGTAAAGTTTGTACTTTCAGTGCCCAACAAGGTCCACGTGGGTGGTAACCTTGTTGGGAAATGTGTATAAAAGAAAGGCTTTTGTGCTCAGTAAATCAGTTCTACTTCACCCTCAATCTAGAGTCTCGTCTCTTATTGGGGGAAACAGCTATACAGCTATCACACTAGCTCTTTTAAGAGCTTCTTCACCTGGATGACTACTGGATGCTGAGAATACCCCTCACTCATCAGGAGAAGGACACCCTTCAGTGGTAGAAACCCTTCTACTCACAGGGGTAACTGCTACAAGCTTCTTCAAGTGAGACACCCTCTGGATTAAAATGGCCTCTTCACACAGCCTTGTAGGCTCCAGATACAGGAGGATGGTAAAATTGAAACCACACTTTTCAGAAAAGATACAGCAACGAACAGCTTATTAAACTGGACAAGTTATCATCCAATGAAATTAAAATCTGGGATACCGTATGGCCAATATCTCCGTGCGAGACGAAATTGCTCTAACGAATCAACCTTCCAATTGGAAGCAAAGAAACTGAGACTAATGTTTAAAAAGAAGGGCTATCCTAATAGGGTTCTTAAACGAGCCTATCAACGAGCTCTCTCGACCAACAGGAGTGATAGCCTGAGAAACACTAGATCTAGGACTGAAACAAAGACAACTCGGTGCATTGGCACCTATGATCCCTATTGGGATAAGATACGCAAAATTATCTCTCGGAATTGGCCCATTTTACAACATGATATGGATCTAAGTGACAGTATTGAAAAATTTCCCCAGATGACTGCTCGCAGAGCAAGAAATTTGAAAGACATTCTTGTCCACAGTCATACAGAACCTGTCAAGTTATTACAATCCACCTGGTTAAAACAAACTACTGGAGTATTTCGATGTGGGCATTGTAAAGCCTGTCAGTATATTAAACCAACAAAAACTGTCAGAAGCTTTAGAACTAAAAATGAATATACGGTTAAAGAATTCATTAACTGCAGCTCAACACGGGTGATATATTTAATCACCTGTAGCTGCGGTATACAATATGTAGGAAAGACCTACCAGCAATTTAAACGGAGGATACTTCAACATGTCTGTTCAATTACCAACTTGAACATCTCGACCCCAATAGCTAATCATGTCCGCAACTATCATGAGGCAGACCCCACAAAATTAACTTTCCAGGCCTTGGAGAAACTTACCTTAAACACAAGTAAGGGTAACTTTAATAAAATACTTCTCATGAAAGAGTCCAGATGGATATATATTTTAAAGACATTGTCGCCAGACGGGCTCAATGAGGAGTTTAATTTTACCCCCTTCATACATTAATAACGAACCATTAATAGTCTCTCTGCATATTAACATATTTTCCATAGCCATTATTAGTGACCTATGTCTAATTCTAATTAGTATATGTTCCATGGGATAGCCATATAAACTAATTATTTATTATGATTCATAGAGGATTGTGGTGTGCTGCACTCCTTGGATCCTCATTACAGCACACAGACTAGCGACCGCGCTGTTTTTACTCTATATTTCTATTTAAACATATATAGCATTTATTTCTATTTTTGCAGATCATATAATTTTTTATAGCTCTATCTTGACTAATAGATCTCTGGGGGGTTGGAGCTAGGTGCCCTTGAAGGCACGGGACACATATTTATATAGAGGATGTTACCCTTTCTCATATCGTGAACTATTCTTTGTATCATTGGATATTCTTGGTATATGATACTTTGTAGCACTGGTTATTGCTACTTGACCTATACATGTGTCTTTGTTCTACTCTCTCCCTCCTAGTTATTCTCATGTATGCTTTACTGTCGGTGCAGCGATTTCTGGCTGTTGCCGTTCTACATATACCCCTTATATCTAGCTAATTAGTGGTATCCTTTTATTGAGATCACCACTTCAGCCACTTCAATACTGGTTTTAATATCAGCTCAACGTTCATCTAATGATCTCATTTTTCTCTTACTGATATTTATGACTTCTTCTCAGATATTTAAAGGACCTATATAGTCCAATAGCATTTTCTGATATTTCAAGCAATAGACTTTATAATCTATCGTCGAACCACCAGGGTGTTTGAATATATGGCATATTATTAGCCACTATGGACAGAAACAGCTTTCTAGATTATGTCACATTCACTGGCTGATATGACCTATATTAATCTACAAGCTTAGTTTTGGTCTCCATAGTACCAGACTACACCACTGATTATTGATCCATTAGATCGGCATTCTGCTCTTCTAACCTGACTTATTACCAGCTACTACCGATAGTAATAGTTTCTCATATTTTGATCTGCAATTATATTTTGTTTTTATTATTTTCATACGACCTGTATTTATATTTATATTTTTAACTTTTTGGTGTTTATATGGTAGCACATATTTGGGTTACATTTTTGTAGTGTTTAATAAATCTTTATTATTTTTTGTTCTTTCATTTTAGTGGTTCTGTCTGGCCTATATAGTAGGCCTTTTGTTGGCTATTTTGAACCCCTTCTCTTGATGCATATATCTCGCATCATGTATTAGATACATTCCTCTTCTTGTATTTTTCATTTTCTATTAGGGGTTACCCCCCACTTCTATTGTGTATCTAATCTGGCTCTACTCACTTATTGTTCTTTTTCCATATCACTGCACTAGAAATCCAGGGGGTTTCATTTTCTTTACAATATTGTTAGCTAGTAGTTTGTTCTCCTCACCCAGTACCAGGTAATCACTCAATTTCCAGGCACAATCTGAATTTGACACGAGAGACTCAGATAGATGAAGGACAATGGGGGCGTGGTCTGATCAGGTCATATCCAGGTGAAATCCAAGATTTCAGCTTTAACTACAGAAGACAATGTTATTTCATCCAGCAAAAAGCAATATCCTCCACACATCATATAATCCATTATCATATAAGAAGTCAGTGCATAACTTGGCCAATCTGTCTATAGAATAACCCTCTGCTAAGTTGGATCCCTCTCTGATGATGTCTAAATCTTGGTCAAAAACAAAATTTGTTTCATCGCAAATTATATTTTTAAGTATTTCACCTCATAACCTTTTAAAAAAATTCAGTTGTCCATTGTTTGGAAATTAAATATTAACAACAGTATTTGTCACATTATTAACATTTCCAACGCAAATAGTCAATCTGTCAATTTCTTCAATCAATATATTTGAAGTAATAGAAGCAGCATTTCTATTAAAAAAGTAAAACACTCCATGGACATTTTTAACCATAATGTTCATGAAATTATTATTATCTTTGAAGTAGGTCTCTGGAACACATGCTATATCAGCCTTCTGAACCTTTGTCAAAGTCCGAAGAACGACCAACAGATCCCAAGTTGGGAAAGATTAAAGCTTTGGAGGGTTGCCTCCAGGCTGGCAGGAAGTTGGACCGTAGAAAGGATGCTCCTAGCACTCACCAAAGTACCATCAGCACCGCAGACACCATAATTACTGCAGACTCCACGAACCGCCGCTGCTGGGCTGGGATCTCGCCATCTGCTATCAACCCTGGACCTATGATCAGGTTCCAGGTTCCAGTAGGTGAACCTCTTCATTCTGTAGAGTGAAGCAGGATCAGGAACAAGAGCTCTTAAAGGAGCTCAGTAGCTAAGGGAGTATGCAAAGCATAGCATAGCAATCCCTGTAGTGATTATAGCTGTCTCCTACAAATACGAGTTAGGCGGCGAGTTAGAGGGTCAAGTAGTTCTGTTTAATGGAAGCAAGCACTCACAATTTATAAAATTTCTCAGGCCAGAGCACACCCCCTGGACCTGTTGGAACACAGGCACACAAAGGACACAAACCAATCAAAACAATACAACAATGTCTGACACTCCCAGTCATTACAGTAAAATCCTCCCCTCTGCCTGTGATATAATTACTGAACACAATGGGCTAACATAATTATAACAGGCAGGAAAATACACCGTTTTGCACAATATTCATAACTTTAAAAGTATACATCACATTCACAGCCAGCATATGCAGTATACAAACATATGTCAAAATCATACAAATTGGTCCAGTGGTTCAAAAGTTATATGGAAGTCCTTTGTGACCGACTGCAAGCATGGCTTTCCAGCCCAATTCAGTTCCACAGAGTTAGGCTGTACAGCCGGTCTATCTTCTCCTCTACCCTGGAGATAATTGGTTTAACTGGGTGTGGTAAGCCAACTATCTCCAGGTACAGAAAATATCTCTATTCACAACAACAGCAAAAATACACAGAAATACATAACTCCTATCATACTGAACAGAACCCCTATCCCCAGATAGCTTGGATCTGAGCACTCAATATATCTGAACAGCGCTCAGATCCCACAAACACAGTCAAATCGCCCTACACACTAGGTCCATAGTCATGGGGCAGAAGGCTGGCAATTAGGCTTCTCCATAACAAATGGAAGCAGGACAATTTGTCACATAAAATAAAAGTTACAAAAGGCCTTTTGTAACAAGGGTGTTTAAGTAAAATAGATTAAAACATTTGTGAATGTGGATGTTTGATGACAATTCACAAACAAGGAAATTACTCAAAGCTGAGATTTGGACCTTGTCTGGAAACCATTCTGCAAAAATAAAAGAATGTTAGGGATGGAAGGATTATCCAAGACACAATCTTTCTGTATACTCCATTGCAGAATTGCTTTGATGACATATTCTATGATAAATCTTAATAGTAGCAGTGTGGGTAGAAGCCAGTCGAACTTCAGACATCCTACCAGATAGCCCTTGCTCTTTAAGTATTAGTCTTGCAGCAGTCAAGTCATTAACCTGAACATCTTTAATATTTCCATTGGAAGAACAGTGTTCTCTAGGATGTTGTCTGAATTTGGAAGTACCCAATGTGTTATCACCAACTGCTCTTTTTTTGAAAACTAGCTCCTGTTTAACCAGTGAAGTACAATTGACAGCATTCTCGCTTTGTCTAATCTGATCTTCTCCGTTATGAGAGATCAACGCTCCAATACAAGCGCTATTTTAAAAAGACCCTGAGTGCCTGGATACATTTTATTCATGTATTCTTCTTCTTGCAGGATGTGAGTAACTGAAAGAATGTTTTCCAGCCAAAATCTCTTATAGGGTGTACACTTGTTTACTCTTTTTAAGTCTGGCCTGGACGAAACAAAAGGTGTGAATAAACCCACTGGAATTCTTGACTTTTGGGTACCTTCTCTATAACTCCTTTTCTTAAAAGCAGCAGTGATTCAGCGAGAAGAAATTCCATTTTCCCATAAAAAGTGGTAAGTGGAAAGCAAAATATTCAGATTTGGTTGAGCTGAGAATTTGTAACCTTTTGGAAATAGTTTGCAGAAACCATTTGTTTGACATTGTTTTCTTTTTTTCACAAAATATTGGAGATGACCTCCCACACATTTGATGTCAATATCTTCTTTTCTTATCCTAATCATTAGTATCCCTGAACTTGTTGTTTCTTGTTTGTCTGCAAAATGTTCTAAATTTCTCTTGGTAACAAAAGGATCTTTATCCGAGGAACTAAAACCTTATATTAAATTGTCCACCAGAATAATTAGAGTCCTGTGGAAGGGCTTTTTTGATTTTGGACATTTGTTTAATGATTTCTTACAGTGGTGAAGCAAACAGCTTGTTTCTCTCAAATTAAAGTTTGAATAATGTCGAGTTTGATGATGAATCTGCCAATCATGTTCTGAGCCATAATGCTCTCCTGGCTACTGAGGACAATCCCGTGATATGTGCTGATAACTTTACCTTTCACCCAACATGTCTGTTAGGAATTTATTGGATATTCTTAAAAGCTACAGCAACTGTACTGGGTCTTTATATGATTTACCCATCAGAAGATCTTCTAAAGTTTGCAACCAGCTTTAAGTACTGATGAACCAGAAATTACTTCTTTATACTGATAACCTGCAGCTTGAAAACTCTGCCGGCCTGATGTTTCAGCATATTTATCCATATGATTCTTTAAACCTCTCATGGAGCTCAGTACATGGATGAAGAAGAACATTCGCATGAAGAGAGTTCTGATAATGAAGAAGATCTTTGCCTTTTTCGTTTCTTTACATGTCTCTCTTGAATTTTAACAGTCTTGCTGTCCTTCTTTACTGTATCTTAAATAACTTACAAAATTAAGATCTGATCATGCGCAGTACCACAGTCGATACTTCAGTGAAACACAACACCTCTTGGGCATGTGTTCCACTGCTGTGTGCATAAATCTGTCCTGCATTGTGATTAGAGGACCTCCTACTTCCTTTCTACACATAAAAATGCTTCCTATCTGCTCTCCATAACACTTCAGTATGGAAGTTCTGTCCCAGATTTCTCCCCAGCAGCATCCCATGTGCCTCACCAAAAATTCTTATTCTGGTTCCTGCATCAGCCATGTCCTATAAGAGTGACTTGTCCTTCCTGGGGCAGGAAAAACTGGGGAGTATTCTTGTCCCGGGAGAAGCAGGTTATTGTACTGGCAGGAATGGGACTTAATTATTTAATTTTATAGAGCTTCTTGTCCACATGGGGAAGAGACTACCCATTTGTTTCTAGTACTGCCACTACACATTGGGAAAATACTTGTTTTCATTGGAAATATTGAATATTTACCTGTAGATTTTGTTTAAAGGTTTGTGTTTTATCCACGTTCAGAGAAGATATATATAAATTCCTTTCATGCAGAGCCTGGGTCATGGCATAGACAGCTTTATACATATGGTAAGTAGTCCTAAAACTATGTGTATTATATATAATTTGAGAAAATAATTCTGAAAGAAGATCGTCCCTGCTGCAGTTATGTAGGTGAAAACCATAATAACGGTAATATTTATCATTCATTTTGTGATTTGAGGATAAACATTTTAAATGTGTTGCTTTAATTTCCTCTAGTAACAGGTCATTTGGATGACGTGAAACACTGACTTTCTCTAAATATTTCTGTAATCTCGGGATGTTCTTGAATGACTGTATGAATGTCAGGCTGCCATTGTAAAGATTTATAGTAGCAATACTTTTCATATCATAGAAAATATGTCTACTGACTGGGATGATAACAGTCTTATTATGAATAGATTCATATTCCAATTTATTCATTGAAAGAAAAGAAATGAAACCACAAATCACAACAATTTTAGATGTTGAGCTTTTAAGAATATTTCTGTAAGTTTTTACAAGTTTAAGTTGATCAAACTCTTCATCAGGAGTTGTTTTTAGAGAGAACTCAATGCATATTCCATTTAAAGCAGCCATTTGTTTTAATTCCTGGCTCTGAATTTCTCCATAAATATCATCAGACATAATCATTCCAATCCAGGTCCAGCCAAAATGCTTGAGTAATTTTACAACTGCTTTAATATGAATATGGTCATTGTGAAGGGTTCGGAAGAAAGATGGATATAGATTTTTGTTGGCTAAATTGGGATGTGTAGCTCCATAGCTGATCTAAAAACACAAATCAGGGAGAACATCCATGTAAAACAGTTATCAACAGTGAGATCATGCACTTTTAGGTAACAACTATAGTCTGAAAAAACAAATAATGTATATGAGCATTTATTAAGTGCAAGTGTTGTAGTAATTGACTGTGCAGAAAAAAATAAATCTCTTTTTTTTTTATACCAGATACAGTGAAACGCTTAAATTTGTGAATATGAGTAAATAATGCACCTTGTGCAAACAAGGAATATTAATGTATCATTTGTTTGTGTTTCCTTAACAATCCAATGACGTGTGTACCTTTAAGATGGATAAAAAATACAAAAATAGCGCAGTACCCTTTTGTACACAAGTATAATATACATACAAAATGGGGCACTCACATGTTCCAGAGCTATAACCTAGCTCTGGGAGTTTTTTACCAGTAGGTCCATTTAAGCGACCTTCCCCTTTTTTTTCTTATTGCTTATGAAGAGTAGTTTGAAAATGTCTTTATGTGAGGCAGTTGTGTGCAGTATATCAAGGAAAGCGATATGTGGATAGTGTAAGACTATTTATTCCATATTCCAACATATAAGTAAGTAAAATACTCACAAGCCTGGAGCCTATAGCTTGCTCTGTGGAACAGCAGAGTATGGTTAGGGACCATATCACCCTCTTTAAAATGCAGGAACACTGATGGTTAGTATAAAAAATAAGTTAATAAAAGTATAAACCTTACTTATTTAAACTTAATATATACAATATCAACAATAATTCAAATAGTCCCAGAGACGCGTTTTGCCGGAACGGCTTCCTCAATCTGGTGCAATAAAATTTTTCTTTAAAAAACTTTTTTGGTTTAGATTCCTCACTGGACTGGATACTCTGCCATAACTATTTCTAGTTTGGTGATAACTTTTATCTCCAGGTATGCGGTATTATGATGGGAATGAGGTGTGCCCCTGGCTACGCCAACCTCTTCATGTCCCATTGGGAACAAGAGTTTATTTATAGAGATAACAGATGGGAGGCAAACCTTGTGACCTATCGCAGATATATCGACGACCTGCTCTTCATTTATTTTTTTATTTATTTATTTATAAAATATTTTACCAGGAAAGATACATTGAGATTTCTCTCGTTTTCAAGTATGTCCTGGGTCCACAAATCATTGCATTGTTACATTAGGTACAACAAAATACAAAAACAATATTAATACACAATATATACAAAATTTAACATAGAACAGGCAGGAAATATATAATCAACCATGACACGTGCATTCTGTTTTGAGGTATGTAGAGAGGGATCTCTTAAAAGACTTTAGGCTTAGGGAAGATTTTAAATTGTGCGGGAGGTCGTTCCACAATTGCGGCGCTCTGTAGGAGAAGGAGGATTGGGCCGCTTTCTTTTTGTATTGAGGTAGACTAAGTAAAGTGCTTGTACTGGATCGGAGGTTATAGAAAGTGGGAACAGCTGGGGAAAGCATTTTGTTCAGGTAGGGTGTGAGTTTACCAGAAAAGCTCTTAAAAACAAGGCTGGAAAGATGAAGGGTGCGTCTGGATTCCAGCGACAGCCAGTTTAGTTCCTTTAGCATGTCACAATGATGGGTCCTGTAATTACATTGTAGCACAAATCTGCAGAACGAGTTATACAATGTGTTGAGTTTATTAATGTGGGATTGCGATGCAGACGCATATACTACATCCCCATAATCAATGATTGGCATCAGCATTTGCTGTACAATCTTTTCCTTTACTGTAGGGCATCCCTTCAATAATTTCTAACCAATCTTAATTCTAATGATTGGGGAATAAAGCTTACAACCCATTTTAGTAAATCCCAAGTTAACTTTTTAGACCTGAAGATATACATAAAGAATGGAACATCAAAAGACCAACACGTTCTTCAAAATAGTAGACGTTAACAGTTACATACAAGAGAATAGATGGCATTTTTCACCTTGGCTCCTTAATGCCCCTAGAGCACAGCTGTTTAGGATTAAACGTAACTGTACAGATGAGCAAATGTTCCAAGATCAAGCAAAAATAATTATACAGAATTTTAAAGAAAAAGGGTATAAAGATAAATTATTAAGTGAGGCATAGGAACAGGTTAAGTTAGAAGACAGATACTCTTTGATAAAATATAAAGAGAAACATGATATTGGGAATAGAGATGAACCAGTGTTCATATGTGATTTTTAACTGCAAAAATAGGCAGGTCAAAAGAATCCAAAATAAATACTGGCCTATCCTAAGAAATAACGAAGTATTAATCTCCATACTCCCTGAAAAACCGGCTGTTGTATACAGAGGAGTTCCTAGTTTGAATCAGACTTTGGTACATAATCATATAAAAGGAAAAGAAAATTTGCATTTCCTCAGTGAAACAAAAGTTTTTTTGGTTGTGGAACTTGTAGAGCTTGTAAAAACACCTTAAGTAAAAAAAGAAATGTAGAAACCTTTAAACATCCAAGAAACCCAGAACAGATGTTTAAAATCAAAGAATTAATTACATGCCACTCTAAAAAAGTGACATATGTTATTATGTGCCCATGTAGCCTTTTTTATGTTGGACGTACTATCCGCCCCCTAAATGTGCGTATACAGGAACACATTAGGAATTTAGAAGCACAGCCTCTCATCACATTTCCTGAAAGTGCATAATAATACAACGTATAGGTCAGATGGAAAAGAGGTACGTCACGGATTAAGTAGTGATTTTGAACTCTGCTACTTTTTTATAGTACTTTATTATTTTTATTATTCTCTGCAATTTCATTATAATATGCCTCCCTTTATAATACTATAAGCAATAAGCATTTCTATTTATACTTGTCGTTTGGTTTAATCTGCTAGCTATAACAAGGATTACTATACCTTTAATACACCACTACTCATTCACCTTTTTACTCAAAATATGAATTTAGGCACTTTCCACTTCACCTAATGGGTTAAATGTTGTATGACTAACGGCAGTCACTTTATTGTATAAACTGGAAGATACTGGAATACCTCTGTAAATATTATATTATCGATATGTAACCTCTTCTTTTCATTATCTACCCTTACTCCCCTGCTGTTGCCTCCTACAGGAGATGTTATATGTGTATATATGCCATTAAGCAAAATGGCGACTGCGGACTCGCCCATACGAGGGTAAAGAAAGTGATTGTGATGCTTTTGTGTAATACCTCTTTAATTGGAACTCAACTGCAGAATTTTCTGAGGGCAGGAACAGTAAGTTTCACCTCCTATTATATTGGAGTGAAATCAGTGGACTGTATCTTTAAATAATAATCAGGAAAATGCCAAGTTAGTTCCAACTTGAATTTTAATAATGAAGTTTTAGCCTTAGCAGCAATCCTTATTTGTCAACAGAGAGTTTAAAGAAATTAAACACTATAATTAATTGATATGACTTGCTTTCCTTGACAAAAGATTTACTTAACTTAGAAGCACTCTGGCACTGGAAGGGTTAATTCACCCAATGGAGGAAGAGGAAGGAGTCTCTTTTAACAAACTGCAGTTTAGTAGTGAGAGAAAGGAAGTCCGTTTGTCCAAGCCGAGGTCTGAGAGAGGAGAAGGTAGAAATCCGTTTACAAGCCGAGGTCTGGGAGAGGAGAAGGTAGAATTCCGTTTATAAGCCGAGGTCTGAGAGATGAGAAGATAGAAATCCGTTTACAAGCCGAGGTCTGAGAGATGAGAAGGTAGAAATCCGTTTACAAGCCGAGGTCTGAGAAGTGGAGCCGGTAGCATCGAGTAGAGCAGCTGATCTCACTGCCGCACCTGAGTGAATAATCCAGCACTTTGAATCTGGCGCGGTCTTCCTAAGTATCGTGGAAAGACCGCGTCAGAAAAAAGGGGCGGAGCTAAGCGCCGTGAACCCGGAAGTGGGTTCCGGCGGCAGCATGAATGTTAGGTATACCTGACAGTACCCCCTTCTCATGGGGCATCCTCTGGGTGCACTTATTTCGGTTTAAAGGGGTAGCGTTTGTGAAAAGCATCAACTAATCTCTTTGCATGAACATTAGATGAATCTTCCCAGGTATCTTCATCAACTCCATAACCTTTCCATCTGATAAGGTATTGTAAAGAGCCACGGTGGATACGAGAATCCAAAATCTTATGAATTTCATATTCTTCTTCACCTTGGACGATGATAGGTTCAGGAGTTGTTACTATTTCTCTATGGAAAGGATCAGGGATGTGTGGTTTAAGCAAAGAGACATGGAATACTGGATGAAGTTTAAAACTTGGAGGAAGTTTTAATTTAACAACGTTATCATTGATGATTGTAGTTATTTGAAAAGGACCAAGAAAAAGAGAGCTCAATTTCTTTGAAGGACGGTTTGTGGTAATATTTTTTGAAGAGAGCCAGACAAGATCCCCCACTTTATAAGGAGGGGGAATTCTTCTATTATGGTCAAAAAACTTTTTCTGGTAGTTTTGGGCGAGTTGAAGATTCTCCCGTAATTTAAGGAATAGAGAAGACATAAATTCATTTTTTGAAGTAACCGTGGGATTGGATGAAGAATTAGATGGGATGGGAAATGAGGACGGATGAAAACCATAGTTGGAGAAAAAAGGAGTCATTTTCGTACTAGAATGAATGGTATTATTGTAAGAAAATTCAGCCATAGGTAACCAAGTGGTCCAGTCATCTTGCAGGTATGAACAATAACATCGGAGATATTGTTCCAAACATTGATTAACTCTCTCTGTTTGCCCATTAGTTTGGGGATGATAGGCAGAAGAGAGTTTGCGTTGAATTTGAAGAGAGAGACACATCTCTTTCCAGAATTTGGAGGTAAATTGTGTCCCCCTATCAGAAATAATTTCTTCTGGAAGACCATGAAGCTTTACAATATTATCAATAAAGACTTTGGACAATTCTACGGAGGAGGGTAATTTTTTTAAAGAGATGAAATGGGACATTTTAGTGAAGCGGTCCACAACAACAAGAATAGTGGTGAACTGTCGGGATGGAGGAAGGTCAACAAGAAAATCCATAGAAATGGATTGCCAAGGTTTTTCTGGAATAGGTAAGTTAAGTAGTAATCCAAAAGGTTGATTATGTTCAGATTTGGACCTTTGACAGATAGGACAAGTTTTGACATATAATTCAATGGTTCTATCTTGGCGAGGCCACCAATAATATCGTGAAGTTAGTTCAAGAGTTTTCTTTATTCCAGGATGTCCAGCTAGGGGTGAATCATGAACCATTTTGACTAATTTGTTCCTAAGAATGGGAGGAATATAAATTCTATTTTTAAAGTAAAATATACCATCCTTTTTTGTTAAATTAGGTGTTTTGTGAAGTTCAAGATCCTTTTGATTCAAGTTCCTTAAGTCATCCTGAAGAGAAGAGAGGATCCCTATTATTTTGTTAGGAGGATAAACATCAATAGAAGTTTTAGAAGGAATTCGAGAAAGAGCGTAAGCCTTTTTATTTCTAGTTCCAGGTCTGTATATTAATTGGAAGTTAAACCGGTTAAAAAATAGGTTCCATCTAACTTGTCTAGCCGTAAGGGTTTTATTAGTATAAAGATATTCAAGATTTTTATGGTCTGTATAGACTATGATAGGTTGTTTTGTATCTTATAATAGATGACGCCAATTTTCAAAGGCAGCTTTAACACTTAATAATTCCTTTTCACCAATAGGATAATTTTTTTCAGCAGAGCTCAAGGATCTTGAAAAGAATGCGACTGGATGAAGTGGATCTTGAGGAGTCTTTTGCTGAGAAAGAACTGCTCCGATAGCTGAATCTGATGCATCGACTTCTAGGACATACAAGAATGTTGGATTAGGTAGCTGTAGAATAGGTGCAGTTGTAAATCTTTTTTTTAAACTGTCGAAGGCAGCTTGTGCATCTTTATTCCATTTGAAAGGACGTTTAGTACTGTTAAGGTGGTTAAGTGGATGTGATACCTCTGAGTAGTTTCTAATGAATTTTCTATAGAAGTTTGCAAATCCAAGAAATCGTTGCAATTCTTTTGTAGTAGTAGGAACGGGCCAGTTAATAATACATTCGATTTTAGAGTTATCCATTTTCAGAGAATGAGGTGAAATAATGTATCCAAGAAAGGAGAGTTCAGTAACTTCAAAAAGACATTTCTCTGGTTTAGCGTATAATTTGTGAGTTCTCAATCTAGATAGAACCCATCTTACATGCTTCCTATGTTCATCCAAATTGTTAGAATATATTAGAATATCAGCTAAGTAGATAATAACACAAACATCCAAAAGATCTCTAAAGATATCATTTATAAAATGTTGGAATGTTGCAGGGGCATTACAAAGCCCAAAAGGCATCACTAGATATTCGTAGAGACCATATCTAGTCCGGAAGGCGGTCTTCCATTCATCATCCTGTTTTATTCTAATGAGGTTATATGCGCCTCGGAGGTCGAGTTTAGTGAATATAGTTGCAGTTCTTAACCTTTCAATTAATTCATTTATTAGTGGAAGAGGATAACGATTTTTTATGGTTATTTTATTTAAGGCTCTGTAATCTATAATGGGTCGGATGGTTTGGTCCTTATTCCTCACAAAAAATATACTAGAGGCAGCCGGTGAAGTCGAGGGTCTGATGAATCCTTTACGTAAATTTTCATTAAGATATTCTTTTAAGGTCTGCAATTCCTTTTCAGAAAGTGGATAAATGTGTCCATAAGGAATGGGAGCACCAGGTATTAGATCTATTGGGCAATCATATGCTCGATGAGGTGGAAGTGTTTCCGCTTCTTTTTTACAAAAGACATCTGAAAAGTCAGAGTAGAATGGAGGTATAATTGATTCCTGAGTAGTTTGGAGAATAGGAATATGATGGAAGCAGGTTTTTTTGCAAAAGTCAGAAGGAAAAGAAATGGAAAAGGGTGACCATTTAATTAAAGGATCATGAGTTTTTAACCAATTAATTCCTAGAATGACGGGATAAAGTGGAGATTTAATAACATCAAATGTAAGGAATTCTGTATGCACGTTATTGGTAATCATTCTTAGAGGAATTGTCTCATCTTTTATGGGTCCTGAGGATATAAATGAACCATCAATAACTCTGATTGGAATAAAATTGGTTTTTCGAACACACGGAATTTTATTCTTTGCAACAAAAGAAAAATCAAGGAAGGTTCCATTAGCACCAGAATCAATAATGGCTTCAGTCACAATTCTTTTTGTATCCCACTGTAATATGAGAGATATAGAAAAATAAGTAGATGTTTTCCTTTTTTGAAGAACTTTCAATATAGAAGTAGATGAATGAAGCTTACCAGCTTTCGAATGGATTAGTAGGGGACATTCTGGGATTAGATGTTCTTTTGAAGCACAATACATGCACAAATTTAGTTGTCTCCTTCTTATCCTTTCTTCCGAAGTAAGAGGGCTTCTTATTATACCAACTTCCATAGGTTCATTGTGAGGAAGAGATTTTTCAGGAATTTTTGGAGTAGTAAAATGTTTTCTCCAGTTAGAAGTAGTAAGAACTTTTTCAGCCCTTCTTTCTCTTAGACGTCTGTCAATACTAATGGAAAGTTGAATCAATGCATTTAAGGTGGGAGGAAGTTCAATACGAGAGAGTTCATCTTTCACAGCTTCTGATAATCCGAGACGGTATTGATTGCGTAGTGTAATGTCATTCCATTGGGTTTCTGTAGCCCATCTTTTAAATTCGGCAATGTAATCTTCAACAGGTCTGTTCTTTTGGTGGAGAGTTCTGATGTTTAAATCAGCAGTAGCCTGTTTATATGGATCTTCATATAATAAAGACATAGCTTCAAAACATTCATCCAGTGAATCTAATATGGGATCATCATTTTCTAAAAAGGAATGAGCCCATGCCATAGGTTCACCTCTTAAAAAAGAAATTACTGAACAAACTTTTGATCTTTCAGTGAGATAAGATCTAGGTTTTAAAGCTATCAGAAGTTTGCAAGAATTCAAAAACTCTCCGTACTTTGTTCTATCTCCATAAAATTTTTCTGGATTACAGACAGCAGGATCACCAGCCGATTGAAGAGCGGCATGAGGAAGATGGCCTTGCATGTCTCTAACATAGGTTAATATTCTCTCATTCGTGATTTGCAGTTCCTGTAACCCTTGAGCAATCGTATCCACTCTATTGGTTAGGGCAGAAACTTGTGAGTTAATATCTGCTGGTTCCATTGAAATGGCTGGATTATTCTGTGATGCTTTTGTGTAATACCTCTTTAATTGGAACTCAACTGCAGAATTTTCTGAGGGCAGGAACAGTAAGTTTCACCTCCTATTATATTGGAGTGAAATCAGTGGACTGTATCTTTAAATAATAATCAGGAAAATGCCAAGTTAGTTCCAACTTGAATTTTAATAATGAAGTTTTAGCCTTAGCAGCAATCCTTATTTGTCAACAGAGAGTTTAAAGAAATTAAATACTATAATTAATTGATATGACTTGCTTTCCTTGACAAAAGATTTACTTAACTTAGAAGCACTCTGGCACTGGAAGGGTTAATTCACCCAATGGAGGAAGAGGAAGGAGTCTCATTTAACAAACTGCAGTTTAGTAGTGAGAGAAAGGAAGTCCGTTTGTCCAAGCCGAGGTCTGAGAGAGGAGAAGGTAGAAATCCGTTTACAAGCCGAGGTCTGGGAGAGGAGAAGGTAGAATTCCGTTTATAAGCCGAGGTCTGAGAGATGAGAAGGTAGAAATCCGTTTACAAGCCGAGGTCTGAGAGATGAGAAGGTAGAAATCCGTTTACAAGCCGAGGTCTGAGAAGTGGAGCCGGTAGCATCGAGTAGAGCAGCTGATCTCACTGCCGCACCTGAGTGAATAATCCAGCACTTTGAATCTGGCGCGGTCTTCCTAAGTATCGTGGAAAGACCGCATCAGAAAAAAGGGGCGGAGCTAAGCGCCGTGAACCCGGAAGTGGGTTCCGGCGGCAGCATGAATGTTAGGTATACCTGACAGTGATACGTCACTTCCGTGTGACAAAACCGGAACTGACAAATCTGACAGCTGCGATCAACATAGAGAAGACACGCACCAATTAACCAATGAGGTCTCTACTTACCATTTAAAAGGAAAGCGGGAACCTGGACATCCATACCGATTGAAAAAGCTGACAGGGCGTAATGCGTCTCGGGACTACCCACAGGACTGAAGCTTTATACAACTGTTGTTTTCATATTGAAAGTTTTTTTACTACAATCAATTTTATTTTATCATACCTTCTCCTGTGGACTTCAGTATCCAGGATTCCAGCTATTTACAAGAAGGGTTTGTGTCCCCTTACTGACACACATGTTGTTATACTCAGAGCCAGGTTTATAGGCTCTTATTAAAGTGAGCAGTTCTATTTATTTCTTCATACTCCTTAGTACTACATCAGATATTGGTCTCCATTATTTCTAGAGGGAAAATCCAGGAGCTACCATCCTAGGGTTTCGTGTTTCTTAATATACGTCTGCTAAAGTGATCTGAGCCTGTCCTGTTTAGGCTCAGAACCACGTGAGGGAATTCATATACAGTCACTATATTTTCACCTGTAACACAAAGAAATACAGGAAAAGGGTTGCGCCAATAGTTAAAAGGTACAATAGTTCGTCTGAATAGGTAGGGCAATATAATGTAGTTGGTCTCACTGATATGGTGGGACTAAAGTTCTGATGGAGTAACGGAAGGTAAAGTCCAATAATATTGAGGCCACACTCAGTGTCTTTATAAGGTGCCTGTTTTTGGGTGTAGAATCCTCAATGTCCCTAGTGGTCTAACCGTTTATTTGCAAAACAAAAACAAGGAGATCCAATGGTGCAGTATATAAAAACCAATATGGGTAAAATAAACAAATATGTGTAATCAATTCACATTTAAAAGAGTTATAGCAAGCTCTGGTGTGAAGGGCGTTCAACTGTATAATCCCCGCTTTTGGAGAGGGATATATAAAAGACAGCCAATAGTGCTCTCAGTAGAATAAAATATGCAGTAAACATAAATAGAAAAGTACAGGAAGTGCAGGCAAACTGCACTGTGATGTCAGCGTTGGTGGTATGATCCCCACCTCGGAGATACTTGGAGTCACACAAAGATAAAAGGAAGCCAGGTTAAAAATTCCAAATAAAAAAGTGTATTAACAAGATGATTGGCACAAAATTGTAACCAAAAAGCCTTCTATTTAAAAAAATACACAATCAAAATAACCATAACGCGTTTCACCACTAGGGCTTTATCAAATGGGTTAGAGATTAGAATATGGCTGCTCTGAGTATATTAAAAAAAAGGCTGCGCACACAAATAAAATTAAAAAATTAAAAAGTTATTATATAATAAAGTAAAGACAATTAAATTATTGTGTTTGTAAATATATTAAAGTATTTTTTGGTCATTTGTTTGTGCCAATAATCTTTTTTATAGACACATAATACCCTTTTTACCCTGGCTTTTTAATTATTTCATTTTTATTTGGTTTTTTTTAAAAAAACCCTGAAAATCCCTGGAAGTTTCCTGCACTTAAAGAAATCCTAGGTGGGGATCAATCCACCCAAGCTGTCACCATGGAGCAGTTGGTCTGCTCTGGTTTTGTAAGTACATTCTTTTATTATTTTATCAATATTGCTATACAGTGAGCACTATTGGCTGTTTTCTTTTATTTCGAGAAATTGGACACCTATCACAGAGAGGAACCCATCTATATCCTATAAGCGGGGATTAAACCGCCGTATGCGCCTTATTCCAGAGCTAGGACATTAGCTCTGATAAATGTGAGTTTTATACTATTATTTCTTCACATCCATATTAGAACTCTACATACTACACTATTGGTTGTCCTCCTCTTTCTTTTTATTTTTCATATAAGTGGACTCACTACAAAGTAGAAGACGTCACCAGCAAAGATTATCTGTAAGGACATTACAGTTGGACTTTTCCTTGTAATTGGACTTTACTTTATTATATAATAACTTTTTAATTTTTTAATTTTATTTGTGTGCGCAGCCTTTTTTTTAATTTGTTTCTATTTTATCTAATGTAAAAGGGTCTGAGGGATTCCCTTTAAAGGTTGCTGCTTACAAGTTATTTAGCGCTGTCTTGTTCTTTTCCTTGCTCTGAGTATATATAGGTAACTGAGCAATTAAAATAGGCACCAAAAAAATCATAGATTAGCAGCCAATACAATCAAAGAACATGAACACATACATAAATATTAAGAAAAGACATAATAAAATAATTATAAGTGTAGCTGTATCTTAAATAAGTGTAAAAAATGGACAGGCCCGGGTTAGAGCTCTGTCCTTTCTCTTACAGATGTCGGGATGAGGGTGGGAGCCGACTTCCAGGCCCGGATCCCGGACGATAACCCTGCTTTATTTTGCTATTTTATCTGTTTATTTTGCTACAGGCTGAGGCCGTGTGGTGGTGATGGTGGTAGCCTCTTTACAGTGGGAGGTCTGGGATTAACATGGAGACCAGGTCTATGAGAGGATTCCCGTACCCCGGGTACCTCAACCCTCTCACCCCACACAATGTTCATGGAATACATTTTCCATGAGCGTCAGCCAAGCTAAAGGCTGGCTGAGTATGGTGGGGAGGGAAGGTAGTCCAGAAGCATTTGGAGTGCCAAGGTTAGCTATTACTGCTATACACCATGCCTCTTTTATGAGTTTGAGTTATTAGTTAATTATATTATGAAATGCATTAATAATTCACAGTCGGTGTGATATGAGCATAATTACATTGCTTCCTAGTAACACTTCTAGTGGCTGTCACTCACACTAGCATTCAGCATCTCCATGCTCTGCAAAGATTCAATTTATCTCTATGAGGAGATGCCTATTGACACAGCACAGCATTTTGCTGCACATGCATAATAGCCTCCCACTGCTTATCTATGGGAGGGGGGTAAAAAAAAAACATTGGGTTGGCTGAGATCATCAAATTTGACTATCTCAGCTTTGGAGGTGAAGCCAGATGCAATAATAAAACACCTTTGCCATGGGATGCAAGGGGGGTTATGAATCTAAATAGTTAAACAATATAGTGTCATGAATACATGTTTGCGTTTAGTGAATAAACTTCAAAGCACATTTACAATGGCACTATCAGCACCGAGACCACTTTAACTCAATGAAGTGGTTTGGTGCAGTGACCCGGTCCTTTTGCTTCTGCTTGTTTGGATGTGCAACAAAATGTTCATATCAGGTGAGAACTCACTGCTACTAGCTATCCTCATGACAGCCTCTAGTAGGTTCTTCCATGTGCAAAACGGAGTTCTGTGACTATTGACTTTAATCGTGGAGAAGCATTTAATTAGAGGAGAAGCCTAAATAGGTTCTAGGACACTATAGTGTTAGAAATGCATGTTAGTGTTACTAATGTTACAGTGTTCCTTTAAAATATTAGTTACACTAGCTGTGTTAGGGGGGAAAAAATATCCAATTCAGCTGCATTTTCAGTTTCGCAGGTGTGGCCTTAAATTTGAATTCCTGACAATTTAAATTGAATAGATAATCCACCTGGTATGTTACCCATGCTTGTAAGCCAGGAGAGCCTTTGGTACATAAGCACTTGTGGACTAGGGTTCACATGAGTCTCCAGCTGAGTACACTAGGGAAATTGATTATATATGATACAACACCATGAGTGCCAAGTCATCAGTGATATGCCATAAATGTCACCTTATTTCATATTTTTCCTGGTCAACTGTACATTAAATCTAATTAGTCATGAATGAAAGGCATCTTTTTCATGCCCTCATTTTATTTGTTTCACTAATTTTCAAAGATTATATTTGGTGGTCCACAACAGCTTGAGTGTCCAGAGGCTATCAATTTAAGGCTCACCTCACCAGTGTTGTCAGTAAGTATGCTCCGTTAACCATTGTTAACAATCAGTGGATATTTGAGGCCGCAAATTACCAATATATTTCCAGAGGTCACAGATACGTGTATCATATACATGATAGAAACGCGTAACACAGCTGATACTTATCACCACATAGAATTTACATTTTAGAAAATTTTAACAAATGTGTTTGTAACAGATTACAATGCAACTGCAACTAAACAAAGTTATGAATAATCGTCCAAAACAGCCCTTCCACTCTGTGCTGCTTGGGCTGAATTCATATAGTTAGAAGTAAGTGTAATCTTAGCCTGAATGTTGCACAGTATTTTCTGGGAAATATATATGCATATGAGCAGGTGGATGGGGGGGAAGGGGTTGGATTTTAAGTGAGTTCCCACACTTTATATCAAAGGTGATGCCCCACTATTGATAACGGAGAACAAATGCAACAGGTAAAAAGTTTTCAAAAAATCAATAATGTGGAGAAAAGTTCATAGGATCGCAAAAAGTCTGTGTGACTAGAAACTCAGGATGAAGGGCAATTCAAGTAAAGTGGCCAGTGATTTATGCTATATACAGACAAAGATAAATGCATGCTGCTGATACAAATCAAAGGTTAAACAATAAAACTTTAACTCACAATACATTGAACAAATAGTAACAAAATACCTTTGTATAACTAACATTATTCTGCATAGGTGCAAGTAATTCTTCAGCCTAAAAAGGGGGTGAAACATGTATAGTATGGCAACAGAAGGAGTGTTAATATGGACCAAACCTGTACATACAGAACATATAGAGATGTAAAAAATATATTACTTGTTAACAATGCTACTGCACTGCTCATTGAGAAGCTACAATGTTATAACACATTGCTATCCATTTCCTCATTAACAGCTCTGGGGAACAGGGTATCCAAAAAAGAAATCCATTTATTTCTGCCTGTAGCAGGGCTAGATTACTTTCTGCAATGGATAAATGTAAAGGGATACTCTGAAAGCCAATAATAGTTAAATGTGTTGGATTAGAGTTATGTTTGAATATGCATTGTTATTATTTAATGCATACGGATAAATTCGAGCTGTATGGTAGCATATATTGCAGACATATCATTTATTTTAAAAGGTTAACTCAGTAATGGAATGATTATGGTTCAATTTAGAAGATAGCCTTATGTTGCATGTCAATCAAAGGGTAAACAAGACACTTTTACACTCGTCCTTTCAACCTTTTTCGGAGTGAACAACAGATAGTGCTAACTAAACAATCTGACTACAGCTATACAATACATTACTTCATGTCAGGGAACAAGTCAAGAGCAACCGTAACCATTTTGGGAGAAAGGAAAGTGTATATAAGCAGTAAAGGGATAGCTGGAAAATGTTGGTTTTCCATACACCCATTCATTCCTCCATACACCCATTCATTCCAACATCCACATGTTGTGCTGCCATTCTTCACATCATTCATGTTGGTAAGATTGCCTACTTGTTATTTTTCTTTCTACATATTCACTCAATACACATGTATTTTATTTTTATTTTTATTTTTGTCATGGTCTCATTTATCTTACAATATTTATGCAATGCCCTTTGGGTCTTCGGACACTGAATTATTTTAGTGATAGTAAAACTTTATCAACTAGAATAAAAAACTAAAACTGTTTCTAAAATAATCTTGTTATGGGATCTCGGTCCCCTAAACACTTTAAACTATGAATGATCAGTGTAGCGGGCCCTGGGTAACCCGGCTGGTTACACCCGCTTTTAGTGTATTAAGAGACCCATCATCCCCTTCCCCCCCAGTAACTGGACGACGCACAGTTCAAGTGGTACAACGTTTGATTATCTTTATTTGGGCACACAGCTTTTAATGCACTGACCCCCTCAGAGGGTCTCCATCCAACACAACACAACCCCAGGCAGGAAGGGGATGGGTTGCAGATAACCATCTGCCGCTCTGGAGATACCACTAGCACACAGGGACACACATGCCAACACATTACATACAGGGGGTAAACTTTGGGGCTCGTGGATATCCCCATGCTGGTATCCACCTGAGAGAGTCTAGTAGCTCCCAGGTTGAGGTGTAAAGAGTGATTATAGCTCCATTGGGAGCAGATAGGATGATCCCCAACACATGGGAATGGAAGTCAGTGTGTGCAGGCCAGTTCGGGATGCGAATGTTCCCCTGGTGGGTGTTCGGAGATACGAACCGGCAGCCACCCAGGGAAAGCATGCACCGCTTGTTTCCCTTGTGGTCTGCGGTTTTCACACCCCAAATTGCAAAGTGTGAAAATTCCAACTAAACATTCTAAATGGGATATCGGGGTGGTCCGGCTCATGGAGCCCCGTGCTCCAGAGTGCCCCATGTGGTTTAGAATTTGTTTGCCTGATTTAAGGTCAAAATTTCTGAAAGGGGGAAAATTGCAAAGAGGAAACACATTCCAGGAGAGCACATCCACACAAAGGAGAGCGCAATTCACAGAAAGGCACCAGTCCCACCACAATCAGCGTCAGACTTCTGTTATTATTGTATATCTAAACAAAAATACATGTTGGCACTCAAACTGTATTTTGGTGCGGGTATCAAGATTCTCCACCTGTAATGAACCTCAAATTATTACAAAAAATAAAGACTGATACCGCACTCAACTAATAGATGCCGATCAATACTAATTGATTCATATATTTCACCTAAAAAAAAACTCACAGCAAGAGGACAACTCCAGAAACCTGTGGAAATCTTTAATTTGAATGCAGTATCAGTCTTTATTTTTTTTTTTTATTAATGTATATTTGTGGTTGACCACCAGTAGATTGCCGCCACAGACTCCCTTTCCCAGTGTGAAATAGCTCCACCAAAGAGAGAGTGCTGTCCCCCCATACATTAGTCAAGAATGAATGCTGGGAGTAGATCTGTTTATTTCAGGCCAGCACTCTCAATTTATACACAGACCCCCAGCAAGGGGTCGCCATACAAAAATACAGCAAACTCCTCCCTGTGCCTGAGAGATTATCGAGTCAGGAAACTTATAACTTAATTATCTCCAGGTACAGGAAAACATAAAAAATCTTGCAACACCCCAAAAGTACCCCACAAGAATCATATCCCCGAATAGCCCTGATCTGAGCACCCAACATATCCAAAAAGTGCTCAGATTGGTTCGGTAGTATGGAATCGCCACCTGGTTACATTTTGAACGGACGGACACATGGGAGAAGCCCAAAATACTTCCAGGGAAATTGTGGCAATGGCCTACCTCAGTTCTGTGGTTTCTGTACGAAAAACATACAATATATCCGAATGCTTTCAAGTAGCGAATGCTCCCCCCATTTGATAGTTCATATCTCCTGAATGCCATTCGTATAGGTGGTCGGGAACTGGGACGGTCAGTGGGTCCATCTTCACCAGTGTTCGCAGGAGTGCACAGCCGAAATGAGATCCAGGCACTTGATGACCAGATGCTTGCGTTCGGGAGACAAAATGGATGCCATCTATTCTGTCCACAACGTGGGTTTGGTTACACGAAATGGCAGCAACCCAGGGGAGCATTCATTAATTGTTTCCGTTGTGGTTTCGTATTTAATACCTGATGTTACACATTCTATTGGGATGATGGAGTGGTCCTCATTTGGGAACTGAACAAAGCATATTTGAACAACCGTGCAAAAAGTAAAAAAGGGAATAGTACCGATCCAAGTGATGGGGTATTCCTTTACAATATCATTCCTGAAGGGAGCCATAATGGGCTATATCAAAGGGCATGAAAACTAACAAGCATAACTAACAAGTGATTGTATATCTCTCTGACATTCTTTCTTGGGACATTGCATAAAGTATTAAGCAGGGTTATCAAAGTATTAGGCAGTTATCAAACTTTGACAAGCAAAAGACAATCCTGTATTCTTAGTAATATATCCTACCTGTGGGTATCCATATAGACTCAGTATGTTGGCCATATGAAGAGACGTCTCTGAGGACAGATCTCCTATAACACCAACCAGTTTGCCATATCTCCTACAGGAGTAATTAGGGATATTAGATGTGAATCCTGATAATATCATTATTACGTTCTTAATAGCTTTGTTCACATTTCCACAGGATTCAAGTACATGGTATCCCAGAGTCACATTGGGTAAAATATTCGGGTTATTGTTTATCTCATCAATAGCAAAAATAAATGCTAATAGGTGCCGGTAATACTTAGGAAGAGGGCTAGGTGAAAATAATAGTTTAAATTAGAACTATTTAACAATATAATTTAGATAAAAATGCTATGATAATGGTATTTGGTCTTTTTTTTCTCTTTGCTAAAACTATATATGCTAATACATCCTTCTGTTTAAGTAGTTCATGTATTATACAGTTTTTATTAAACATACATGTTGACTGCAGCAGCACAACTTTCTAATAACAAAATGGATTTTAGTCAAGAAAGGTAATGTAGAAATCACACATAAAATTAATGAATATGAGTTCCTAGAACCTTTTAATGGACAGAAAAGGGACCACAATGTTCTCCCTCTACTTTTCTCACTCCTACGATAAAAGCCTGAGAGAAGGGCCCATAATAACTCAGGGGGATCTATCTGTGCTACTGCGTCTTCTTCCCCAGTGTGCTGATATTTGGATGACAATAAATAAATAACTGAAGAATCCTCTGGAATTTACATATGGACCTTTAGTAATAAACACATACAAACACATAAATAGACACATACCATGCAGAAACCCTCTGAATGTTCCCTGCAGCCACTTTGGTGTTGCTGCTCATTCAGTTTTAAAATGAACTAGTCTTCTTTTTGAAATATTTACAAATCTAGTGGGGCTTAAAATCGATCATTTAAACTAACTGGGGGAACATTGATGGGGAGTGATAAAGAAAATGATGTAGAAATTTAGAAACCATTTTGGTTACTTGCTCCCATTTTATATAATAAGTATTTGGTTCATCTTGTGATGGCTGTTTCGTGCCAAGGTACTTTATGAGTTAATATGAACCATGACCTGGACCCTTGCATCTCAGATGGGATCTGGCAAAAGCAAGATTAACTCATGACACTGAAGTCATAGTTAGGTGCTTGTCTAAAATGTGATTATAGCACTCTTGAGATACCTATGTAATATTCAATATGTGATATTGTTTACAGGATATAAATGAAAGCAAGGCTTTATATAGGGTAGAGCATTGGCTTGAATATTCTATGTAATCCATTGTTAACCATGTTAGCATAATCTCATTCATTGACTGTCACCGATTGCCTGATTGAAATGAATTAATAAACACAACACTTGTTTGGTCTGACTATACATTTTCCCATAAAAGGGAGTATAATATATCCATTGTAACCTTCCATCATCTCCCTAGCTAGACCTTGTGATAGGATCAGCTGTCACTGTCCACAGAGCTGTGCTCAAATCAGAGAAGGACATTTATTTCAGAGACACTTTGGAACTTCTATGTGCTTTATTTAGATTCTATTTATTGTCTTTATTTTCACATATTTGCACTTCCAAAATGCGATTTAATATTTCTGGGTCACGAGAAGTGGTAAATGTCGGAGTGTGATATCTTTAGTTATTATGTGTATGCAATAATTCTTATTGATATGTTTCAAGTAAATTCGACTCCAAAATAAAATGTAATAATAATAAATAACACATATTGGTATTATTGATGTATATCTAATAAAATACTCTCTGGTAAAGTGCTAAGTTCTTGGTAGGTATAAAACCATTCAATTTTACACCTGTATTACTTTATTAAAAAATAATTAAAACTAAGCATTACAAAACTTTGGAATGGTAAGGATGCTTGGGTCAAACCATTTTTGAGCATTTTGGTCAAACTGTGGATTCCTGTGGATTCAACCATGGTCTCTGCTAACCTGATTGGTAGTGAATATGTTCTGCTTCTATATTAACAAAATCAAGTTCATATATATTTGGACAGCAGTGAAAAGGTGTGACACCGCACCTGTACTAAAATAGCAAGTAGACCCTGTTATAGATTGTTTTCTCATTTGCAGCCAGTGTCAATGGTTATTAAAGTAATTGGAATCCAAATTTCACAAACCATTTGTTTTGGCAGTAGTACATCAGAAGTCAGTAAATGTTACAATATCATTAATCCCATAGTGTCTAGCTCATTGCCTGTATTGTGCACATGTGTATCTAATATGTTATCAATTTGCCAATTACCGAGGAGTTAGGTGAGGTATTTCTGGTGTATTTTGCTCAGACCTTAAATCTTAGAAAAATGTTTAGGGAGTATTTTTTTCTTAGGAAAGCTCTTTTTTAAAGTTATTTTCAAGTCTTTTGAGATATGGAAAGTTTGCACAGATCCCATAAAGTTTTACTAACTCCTTCGAGATTGCAATCACCGAAATATGAGTGTTTAATATAAAATGCATTTCACTAATCTGCTTTAGGTAAAATTGTGAATGCTTCAATATAACTAACTCTAACACTTCATCGGCAGCCATTAAAGGGCTGACACATATTGAATATCTGATTGAATATGTGATTGATCATTTAAACTCGATGCAGGAACGTTGCTCGGGAGTGATATAGAAAATGGTGTAGAAAATTAGAAACCATTTTGGTTACTTGCTTCCATTTTATATGATATGTATTGGGTTCATCTTGGGACGGCTGTCTTGCCAAGGTTCTTTTCGAGTTAATATGAGGCTTGGCATGGAACAGATGTTCTAAGATGTTTTATAAGAGAGAAAGTATTTCATAATCAGTGATTTCAAACAATGTTCTGGAGACAAGATGTAAAACCATTGTCCATGACCTGAACCTTTGCATCTCAGTTGGGATTTGGCAAAAGCAAATATAACCCAGCTTGCTGATAATGTTAGGGAAACAGCTTCAGCTTATCGTGAGAGGGACATAAAATTAAAAATTGGATTTGCTACAAACATGACTGTAGATTCTGCGGCCACTGATGAGAGACTCGGATATCTCTTTCTGCATTCTAAAATAAACAACATTAAACTGCTAGATGCTAATAAAGGTCAAAAATATAATGCACATGGAGAGCATCCCGTGCAATGAATGTCTAAACAGATTACACAAATCATAGAATCATGGGTAGAAAATTATTAAGAAAGAAGAATGCTAATAAAAAAAGTTTACTAAGCTTTACAAGAGACACGTAGGTCATAAAATACACACAAAGTGTTAAAGCTGCAGGCAGATTTTAATGGAACAAAAAGAGCAGCAACGTTACGACCTTCACAGAGGTCTTTTTCAAGTTGTGAAGGTTGAAACATTAAAATCTGCCTGCGGCTTTAACACTTTGAGTGCCCGGAAATTTAATTTTGCCTTGACGTGTTGGGATTGCTGATCCTGTTCCAGAGCACCGGTGGCTGCTGGGAATGAGTGCGGTACCTACAATCATCTTTGTAATAAAACACACACAGACACAGGCTATCAAAGTAAATATAGATAACATCAAGAAAATAATAGAAAAAGAGAGAAACATTTGTAAGAATGGCTGCTCACTCTCCAGTTATGGCTCCCAGTATTTTAGGGCGAATCATTAACCTTCTTAGCGTTTATTTACAACCTTGTTAACCTAGTTGAAAGACAGATTTATTCCATTGCTTTGTTAAAATGTCATGGCTCCTCTATACGCGAACCTTTACCAATTCGGAACGTTAGACTGTGCCTAGTTACACCTAGTTGAAGTGTTACATTAATAGATGTTATAATAGTACATTGGATTTCATGATACATTAACTCTCTCACAACGTGAAACACAGCAGCAATCCTCTCTCTAAACCAAGGTTTTACTGAGCTATTCACTCTGACTGCGTGTTCACTGTAAATATTTGGGTGTAAATTTAAAAGTTTCACATTTTTCATATTTTTTGCTTTTTGTGTTATGAATAAATTTAAGTTATAATGATAATTCCACCAAAAGATCACTCAGTGGAGCGCTAAATATCAAATTCTTACCCCTATTGGAATAACGTATATATCACTTTAAGGGGCAGACAGCATAATAAAATCTACAACAAGAAAATACACATCATGGTGCAGTATGCTTGTAAGGTGTGAATGGAGTGGAAGAAGATGTATGTCCAACTCACATGGTAAAGAGCCTGGAGATTGGCTCAAATCACAACAGCTGAGGTATGTTTGGTAATACCAGACCTTCTCCAGATATACAGCTCACAACATATGTGGATAAAAAAGGACAAAAATCCTAGTGCAAGTATGTTTAAAATAAACAAGTGGTCACATATAACAGTGCATGAATGTGCTCACCTGGAATAGAGCCAATTGTACTAGGCTCTATGTATAAGCGTGTGGTGCCTTTAAGGGAGGCACTACCCTTCTTTAGAAAATGCAGGAAGCAGTTGAAGATCCACTACCAGATGTATAAGGTAAAAGTAACAATTTATAAAAAAAAAAAAAAACAATTAAGCAAAGTAAAACTGTATATACAGATACCAAAAAGTAAAAGTCTCTGGGGTGGTCTTCCTTGGAGTTCCGAGACGCGTTTTCGCCGTGAGGCTTTCTCAATCGGATTGAGAAAGCCTCACGGCGAAAACGCGTCTCGGAACTCCAAGAAAGACCACCCCAGAGACTTTTACTTTTTGGTATCTGTATATACAGTTTTACTTTGCTTAATTGTTTTTTTTTTTTTTTATAAATTGTTACTTTTACCTTATACATCTGGTAGTGGATCTTCAACTGCTTCCTGCATTTTCTAAAGAAGGGTAGTGCCTCCCTTAAAGGCACCACACGCTTATACATAGAGCCTAGTACAATTGGCTCTATTCCAGGTGAGCACATTCATGCACTGTTATATGTGACCACTTGTTTATTTTAAACATACTTGCACTAGGATTTTTGTCCTTTTTTATCCACATATGTTGTGAGCTGTATATCTGGAGAAGGTCTGGTATTACCAAACATACCTCAGCTGTTGTGATTTGAGCCAATCTCCAGGCTCTTTACCATGTGAGTTGGACATACATCTTCTTCCACTCCATTCACACCTTACAAGCATACTGCACCATGATGTGTATTTTCTTGTTGTAGATTTTATTATGCTGTCTGCCCCTTAAAGTGATATATACGTTATTCCAATAGGGGTAAGAATTTGATATTTAGCGCTCCACTGAGTGATCTTTTGGTGGTAGTACGATCCACTAAGTTCACTTTTTTCTTTCACATTGTGTTTGTGTAGGATTGGGATACCTGCATGCGTGTTTGAGCTGCTGTTCCATTTATATATTATTGTTAAGCGCCTAATTGCACAGAGCACCTTTTTCTTATAATGATAATTCCAGCCTGACATTTATATTTGCAATTGCAATTTTTGTCTAAATTATGGGTATACCCTATTACATTTGTGTGTGATTATATTAGGACTATTTTTAGGGATAGGTGTAAACATTTCTTTTTAATATTTAAAGGAATACTAAAGGCACCATATCCACTTTGTATTAAAGTGGTTATGGTGCCCGGAGTCCATGTATGCTGGGTCTGTATTGTTGCCTAACCGTTTGCGCACAGTTTATTCCCCAACAATCTGCAGCCCGTCTCCAATGAAGAAATGGCAGATGCAGAGCTTCACTTCAAGGATAATGGGCAGTTATAGGAGGAGAATGTCATCTGAGCACTCTCAGCCCACCCCTGCCCTGATCCCTGGTATGAACTGATATGGCAAGATGCAGAATTATAGCTCAGCATATTGTGTATTGTAATTGGAGGCTCAGATGCAGACTGCTGGAGACTGAGCATTTTTTCCAA